CAAATGGGACTACATGTGTTATGAGTATTATGTTTGCTGTGCATTAAACATAGTGAAAAAAAATAAGAATATAATACACTGTAAAACCTATAGAAAAACAATATTGTGTGCACTTGTAAGCCCTATGATGTAAACAAACACCATATGGTGCCCGATATACAAATCAGCTAACCCCCAGCTGGTGCTGATATGCAAATCAGCTAACCCTAAGCTGGTGCTGATAAGCGGGCCTGCTATGGACATTTAAACCCCACTCAACAGGAGACCAATGCCACTTCCTCCTGACTGGCAACACTCATCACGCTGGTCAAGAGCAGCCCCCAGAGGAAATGGACCAGACACTCTGCACGGCCTGTCGGATTCCCTGGGTGTCCTGGAAGAGTATAGAGACCGAGAACTAGCCAGGACGGGTTCGGAGCCTGCCGCCGGGGTACTAAGATTCACGTCGCAAGGTGAGCACAGCTTGGGGAAGGCTGAGGTGCTCTGGGGCATAGGTTGTAACCCCCTGCAATAAAGTGTGTGTATGAGCAACTTAATTCCTGTCTAAGTTAATTCATTTAGCGCTTGATTGACAGTCAACTCTGCACCGTCAACTGCTTGCGATGACATGAAACTAAAAAAACCTTCTGCACAGCAAAAGAAATGGTCACCAAATTGAAGAGGCAACTCACAGAATGGAAGAAAATATTTGCCAGTTATCTACCTGACAAGGGATTGAAAAACAGAATATATAGGGAACTCAGAAAACTAAACTCCCCCCCAAATCAATGACCCAATGAAGAAATAGACAAATGAACTGAACAGAGCTTTTTCAAAGGAAGAAGTCCAAATGGCCAAAAAATTCATGAAGAAATGCTCAACATCGTAGCCAGAAAGGAAATGGACATCCAAACAATATTAACTTTCTACTTCATGTGCTGGGGGCATGACTCAAATAGCAGAGCACCTATCTAGCAAGTGCAAGGCCCTGAGTTTAAACCCCAGTACTACCAAAAAAAAAAAAAAATTATACCTCACTCTTGTTTAAATGACTATCACCAAGAATATAAACAGCAACAAAGCTGGGGAGGTTGTAGGGAAAATGGTACACTCATATACTGTTGGTAGGAATGTAAATTAGTATAACCACTAATGGAGGGTCCTCAAAAAACTAAAAATAGAACTGCCATATGATCCAGCAATTCCACTCCTAGAGATACACCTGAAGGAATGTAAGTCAGGTTACAATAACTGCACCTGCAGCACTATTCACAATTGCTAAGCTATGGAAACAGCCAAGATGCCCCACAACTGATGAGTGGATTAAGAAAATGTGATATTTTTATACAATGGAATTTTATTCTGCTGTAAAGAAGAATGAAATTTTGTCCTTCGAAGGTAAATGGATGGAACAAGAGAACATCATCTTAAGTGAAGTTAGGCTCAGAAACATAGAGAGTGCATGTTTTTGCTCATATGTGGAAGACAGAGCCAATAAAAATACAAGCATTATCATATATACATACAAATATACATGGAGCATGTTTCCAAAAGTGGGACTGCTAGCGGTGACTAAGGGAGGAGGAAAAGAAGAGAATGATAGAAATACTGAAAAGCATCGCATCTGTGTAGGAGCAAGACACAATGAAACACACTTAGAACTGTGGGTGGGGAGAAAAGGGGGAGGAAGAGAAGCGAAAGGGATTAGACTGATTTAAGCACAATATATTTATAGGTAAATAGGTAAAATACCAAAGCAAAATCCCCGCTGAAGGGAACAGATACCCAAATAACAAAGGACAGGAATGTAAAATAGGCCATGTTAAGGGGAGGGCATTAGTGAGAGGGGGAGAGTGAATATACGTGTATGAATATGGAACATTGAGGCCTGTTGAAGTTATTTTAAGAAGAGGAATGGGGTAGGAGGGAGAGTAATGAAGGGGATGAACCCAAGAGGGGTATTATACATGTATATATGGATGTCACAGTGACATTCCCTGTATAACTATCATATACTAATAAAAATGTTAAAAAAAAAGAAAGAAAGAAAGAAAGAAAGAAAAAAGCCAGTATCTCCCTGGACCCTCAGGCCTATGGCCTCCAGGAACCTTCCCCTTTCCTTTTGCTCTCATCCTGCCCCTGGCCTATTGGCACCTGGATCCATCTACCACTGAGGGCCCATGTTCAGACTTCCCACCCTGCTCTGGAGCAATGAATCCAGCATCCCAGTTATTTCACCACAGGAGACCCCCAGACTACTATAAGCCAATCCTATCATTACTTCCTTTTTAAATGATATTTTTCTAAATCACCCACTTTCTCCATTTTTTTCCATGAGAAAAATGAAAAGGAATTAAAGGGTCCAAAAAGAAGCTGATAACACTGAATGTAGTAGCTCAAACCTGTAATCCAAGCACTTGGGAGGCTGAGGCAAGAGGCCTGAGTCTTGCAAATTCGAGGCCAACCTGGGCTACACAACAAGGACTAGAGAAGCCTGGGCTAAATAACATAATAAGATCCTATCTCAAAAAAAAAAAAAAAAGCTGATAAATTTACTTGATTGTTTTTAGCAGATATTTGTAAATTTATCTCACTAGTTTTTTGTTTGCAGTATTGCTTGGCAATAATGGGGGGTTGAATTCAGGGTTTACTAGACAGGTGCTCTACCACGTGAGCCATGCCTCCAGGTTCCCCCTTTTTTTTCCTTAGGCATTTCTGAATAGTGTCTCACATTTTTTGCCCTGACAGGCCTGGAGTCTGAGCTTCCTATTTATGTTTCCCTAGTAGTTAGGATGACAGATGTACAACACTGCCCAGCTTTTATTGGCTGAGATGGAATCTTGTGGACTTTTTTCCTGGGCTGGCCTCCAACCTTGATTCTCTAATCTCTACCTCCCAAGCAGCTAGGATTACAGATGTGAGCCACCACACCCTGCTTCTTCTAATTTTTTTTTTATTGTGGTAAAATATAAATTTTACCATCTTAAACACCCCTCCACTTTTACTTGCAGTACTGGGCATTAAGCCCAGGGCCTCATGGATGCCAGGCAAGTGCTCTACCACTGAACTACATAGCCAGCCTTCATTTTAATCGTTTTAAGTGAACAGTTTAGTGGTATTAAATAATGCACAACTGTCATTTCCACCCATCCCCAGAATTCTTTTCTTCTAGTAAGACTGAAGCTGTGCGCATTAAATAATTCCCCATTCCCTCCTACTCCTAGCTCCTGGCAGCCATCATTCATTTTTCCCTTGGTTCACTGTGACTCCTCTAAATGCCTCGTGTGAATGGATCATCTAGTAATTGTCTCTCTTTAACTGGCTTATTTCATGTAGCATGTTGTAGAATATGTTAAAATTTTCTTCCTTTTAAAGGTTGACCCCAGCCCTACCAAAAAAAATTTTTTAAAAATTAAAAAAAAAAAAAAAAAAAGGCTGAATTACAGGGCTGGCAGAGTGGCTCAAGTGGTAGAGCACCTACCTAGCAAGCATGAGGCCCTGAGTTCAAACCCCAGTACTGCAAAAAAAAAAAAAAAAAAAAAGGAAAGGCTCAATAATATTCCATTGTATGTTTATATCACATTTTGCTTATCTGACACTGGACATTTGGGCTGCTTCCACAGTTTAGCTACTGCTCTTGCATATCCAACTGAGATTTCACACTTACTGCTTCATACTCTTGACTATATCTTTGGACTGTGTGTGCCCTTGTCTTTCTGCCACAAGAGTCTGATAAATCTCAACTCTGATGAACCTTTATAATGATCTGCTTACAGTGAAGTCCTGTGTACATCTTCCCTGGCAGTCTATAAACTCTGAGAGGGCACAGGTCATGTCTGCCTGGCTCCCTATGGACCTCCTGAGCAGTGCCAAGGTCACTGTAGGTATACCTTAAACATTTGTCAAGTAAATGAGTGAATGAACAAGGAACAAAACATGTGAAAAGCTTTTATAAAGTTGTGAGATGCTATATAAATATTAGGTAACACAATTGTGAGAATGAAACACAAATCTGATAATTATTAGATAATCTAACATTAAATCAGTAAGATTTGTGTGAAGAAAACCTCCTCTCCAATGCTATAAAATATATTGATTCAAATTGATCTTAGAACATGTATCTTTCAATCAAACGGAAGTGAATTATGCAAAAACAATCAGAAAATATTTCTGTGTGCATGCAGGGAACCACAAACGTATAATCGCTTGCTAAAATTTCATCCACACTCTCTCTCAGGAAATAGGCCTCAGATGAAAGAAAGGCTTAACAGGGAGTTTGCCTGTTTCCAGAAAGCATGTTCATGACCTTAATTCAAGACAGGATTACATACTTTTATAAAGTAACAAAACAAATTGTGCCAATATGAGAAATTTATTGCTACTCTGGGAGTTAATACATGTGACACAAGTCAAGAGGTAAACTATATTTTATTATCAAGTAAGACTCAATCAAACTGGGAAAATTATGATGGTTACCATCATGATTCAAAATAGACACAAGAAAGTGTCTATTTTTCCGGGACCAATAGTTGCTTCCCTTCCACTGCCTGAAGGAATCCCTGGGAAGGAAGGGTTGGCATTCTCCCACCTCACCAACTGTCCAAACCCAACGGCTCCTCGTCTGTGTAATTGACTTTAGAACTCTTCTTAGGCGCTTAATACTCCACCTCCAGCAGGAACAATGAGGTAACTTCGTAACCACGATTGAGGAAAACTGAATTTGGCTCTGGGAGCTAGAGAACTGGGGTGGCTTTCGCAAGGAGCTCTGGTAGCCAGAGGGCCACTGGGGGTTGCTGGCTGGACGATCCCATAGGTCCCGGGCCTTGGACAGTTGGAGATTTGTCGTGCATGTGTTGCGTGGTTCAACCGCTTGTGTGCCTGGAAAGCAGCTCCCCTACTGTAGCCCTCCAGGCGGCCCCAAGCCCTGGACTACACTTCCCAGAGGGCCTTGTTCCCGGGCTGGCGCGATTGAACTAGGGCGTGTCTAGAAGAAGCCATAGTCCACTAGCAGTAGTGGGGCATTTTCGTCCGCTGCGCTGCCTCCCTGCAAAAATGGTGGGGCTCCTGCTCCTGCTGCTCCTTCTCCCCTTCGTCCTGTATGTGGCCGCGCCCCAAATCAGGTCTGTGCAAATGTATTGCTTTCTCTTGAGAAGTCTTTTCGGGGAGGGCATGTGTCCTCACTTCCTTCAAAAGGACTAGGAAAACTCGCCTGGAAGGGGGATCCCCTAAGATGGCCGTGAGACCCAGAGTTGAGGGGGTTGCAGGGAGGTGCATGTGTCCTGGATGTGGGGAGGGCGAGATCCTAGGTCCCAAGCGGTGGTGCAAGGGCTGCAGCTCCGAGCATCCTGCTTGCCCTCTCCTGGTCCCCTTTTTTGTCTAGCATCACCTGCCCCCGACTCCAGGGAGCCCCTAGTCGTGGCTCCCTCAAACGCTGAGTTTACAACTTGGCGGGCTTCAGACCCTACAATGGATGTGGCCCCGAACACTGTTTCCCCATTTATTCCCACGCTTTGAACCAGCTCAGTCTAGCTTCTTGCGTCCAACCTTTGCGATGCAAAGGAGCCGTTCTGCTTTTTGCTGTCTGAAACCGATGGAAATCGTGATGTTTGTAGCCCCATTGCGTGCTGTCTTGGATTCGCTCTTTCTCTGGGCAAGGCGTGAAGGAGAGATGTGAAGAGGAGGAGTGACTGTGAGCTCCATCCCGCCCTCGGAGCGGGCACATGTCGGGGTGGATCTGAGTTAAACCCCGAAGAGCGGAGAAAGAGGGCAGGGAGAATAGGGTGGGACTAGGGGTGAGGGTGGGGTCTCCTCACCAGGTGTCAGGTTAGCCAAGGCCGGCAGATCTGTCTCCCCTGAGAATCAGCAGCCAGGGGCACAATGGGTAACCCGCTGATTGGTGCTGTGTAAATCACCAGTAGTGACGGTGAGCCAGTGACTGAAGAGACCCAGTGCTTCCGCAGGGCGCGTGGTCATGGTTCCAAGTAAATCTGAAGCTGTGCCAGGTCCGCATCTATTAGTTCTTACTATAGGAAGATTGATCTAGCAAGGCTGGCCTGCCTACCTCCAGCCCTTCCTCTCTTCCACTTTCCTTCCTTCCTTTTCATTTTCTCTTCTCTCCATGGTGACCCTCTTCCAATTGTATATTTTTTTTTCCTGAATACTCACTACTCCCTCTTGTAAGGCACACATGGGTGTCACACTCACATGAAAGCACAAATTTTTATCCATTTTCAGGATCCTCTTATGCAGGAAATCTCAATGAAAAGTTGAACCAGAACCGAAACTAGTGCTCACACCTCAGTGGGATTTTTCTGAGAAAGATTATACTGCTTAGGGCTTTATCCCCAACGTGACCTCGCTGGATCTTTATAGTGGAATTTTCTCTTTCATCCCTGCAGGGTAAGGAGAATAAAGAGCAAAGTTCAGGTCCTTCCTGGAGCTCAAGCTAAAGGGATGTGAAAAACAGAGCCAGAGGTCTTGTCCTCTCTGGAGGGTGGCTTAGTCCCTGGGGACCATGAGTTAGTTAGTTTGCCTCCCTGTCAGCCTGTTTGCCCTGAACAGGTAGCTTCAGTGGCTAGGAGTTTGTACCTTACAATTCTAAGTTCAAGACGGGTGCTGGTAGCTCACTCTATAATCCTAGCTACTGAGGAGGCAGAGATCAGGAGGATCACAGTTCGAAGCCAGCCTGGGCAAATAAGTTCAGGAGATCCTATCTTGAAAATACCTAACACAAAAAGGGCTAGTGGAGTGCCTCAAGGTGTAGGCCCTGAGTTCAAGCCCCAGTACCCAAAAAAAAAAAAAATTCCAAGTTCAATGAAAAAGACTGAAATGTTCTTTAAAAACTCACTTCCTTGCTGGTGGTTCATGCCTGTAATCCTAGCTACTCCAGAGGCAAGCAATCAGGAAGATTGCAGTCTGAAGCTAGCCTGGGCAAATAGCTTGTGAGACCCTATCTCAAAAATGTCCAACACAGAGACACCAGTAGTCCATGCCTGTAATACTAGCTACTCAGGAGGCAGAGATCAGGGGGAATCACAGTTTAAATCAGCCCAGGCAAACAGTTTGAGTTACCCCATCTCACAAAAAAAGGCTGGCGGAGTGACTCAAGGTATAGGCCCTGAGTTCAAGCCCCAGTACCGCAAAAAAAAAAAAAAAAAAAAAAAGCCTAACACAAAAAGAGTTAGTGGAGTGGCTTGAGTGGCTCATGGGCCTGCCCAGCAAGCAAGGAAAAAAAAAATGCACCTCCCGGTCAACAGATTGTCTTTGTCCTAAGATTGTAGAGAAAGAAACACTCAAAGGACTGCTAATATGTATTGTACATTTGTTCATTTGGAGAGGCAGCATAGATTAGTGCTTAGGAGCAAGGACTCTAATTAGACGAACCAGTTCTTGAATCCTCACTCCCCTTTGTGCTTAACTCTGGTTTTCTTGTTTGGTTAGTTGCTTGTTTTTGTTTTTGTGATCCTAGTGATCAGACCCAGGGCTTTGCACATGCTAAGTATGGTGCTTTATCTTTGAGCTAAGTCCCCAGCCTGTCTTACTTTTAAATGTGTTAATGTGTGTGTGTGGTCTTTTTTTCTTGTGTTGTTTTGTTTCAGATTTACAAGTTTTCATAATTTTAGCCCTTTGAATTGGTCTAGCCATTCTTAAGACCATTAAATTCCAGTCATGGGCAGATTGACACGTAGAGACCCATTCTTCCCTCTCCTTGATTGAATCCTGTGATCTCCTAAGTCAAAAGTGTCTCATAAAGAGCTCAAACTTGTTTGGTCTTGGCTAATCAAATAATCATCCAGTTCCTGAGCTACACAGAACCCTTTGAAGCTTTGTCCTTATTATAGAATCACTTTTATACTTGAACAAGAGCAGAAAATTTGTTTTGTTTTGTTTGTTTGTTTGTTTGTAACAGTTTCTCACTGTATAGCCCAGGCTACTTTGGATCCTTCTGTTTCAGCCTCCCAGGCACTGGGATTACAGGTGTGTACCACCACACCAGATTAAGAGCTGAAATTTTTTGCCTTCTTTCCATCCTTCCTTAAACTTACTGAAAGACCGTAATGAAAGAAATGAAAGTAAACCTTAGTCTTGGGATCTGAAGACATAAGGAGTTGCAGGACTCCTCAGCTGCGTGGGATGATGAGGACCTGATGTGCCCTCCTCCTCTGTCTGCAGGAAAATGCTAGCCAGTGGGGTGTGTACATCTACCATCCAGCTTCCTGGGAAGGTCGCTGTAGTCACTGGAGCTAACTCAGGTATTGGGAAGGAGACAGCCAAGGACCTGGCTCAAAGAGGCAAGTTCATCTGCTCCCAATTCCTTCCTACTACTACTTCACAGCAACAGTCATTCTTACTGTCTCTACCCAGTCCTGGCATGCAAGAACACTCCAAGTACCCATTGATTTGCTAGTCTGAATTGACTGTGATGCTCTACATACAGTGGACACTTAAATATTATTGATATTTTTTCCTGATTTACGTAAGATACTTCTGTTAAGTAAGGGTGAAAATTCCTACTTATAAAAAAGAGGAGAAAATAACATTCAGAACTGGAGGTATGACTTAAGTGATAGAACGCCTGCTTTGCAAGTGCAAAGTACTGAGTTCAAAACCCAGTCCCACCAAAAAAAAGGGGGGGGAGAAAGTAACATTGAACATCGGTATTACATTTCTAACACCCCTGACAATTTGCCTTTCATATGTTGGTTGACAGGAGCCCGTGTATATTTAGCTTGTCGAGATGTGCAAAAGGGGGAATTGGTGGCCAAGGAGATCCAAGCCATGACAGGGAACCAGCAGGTGTTGGCGCGGAAACTGGACCTCTCTGATACTAAGTCTATTCGAGCCTTTGCCAAGGACTTCTTAGCAGGTAAGTAGAGAGCCAGACACTATGTTGTGGGTCTCATGGACAACATGGCAGACTTAGTTAAAAAGACAAGATCTCTCTCTCTAATACATAGAAATAGTGGATAAAATATAGTCAAAAAGTTTTGGTACATAACTGAACTCATTATGATCATTGGGACATGATTTATGTCAAAAGGACATCCTTAGAAGAGAGAAATAAAAAGAGAATCCAAAAAGCTGTAACAGTAAGCAAGAGCTGAAGCCAAAAATTTCACCAGAGTATCAGAACTCAAGGTAGGCCCTTTAGGGCCTGGTGTCTGAACACCCATAAAGGAAAGGAGATGAGGCCTTAGGACCTTGGAACTGTGTTTATAAGGTTTAGATTAACAGAGGGACATCTGTTCATGGTATAGGGGCTTAAAAAAAAAAAACCTTGTTGGGAACCAAAAGCCACAGTCTGACAAGGTCAGAATCTGCAGATGCACCATGCCTCTATCATGGTGGGAAGGAACGCTAAATGGTTTCCCTTGACTGAAAAGAAGTTTATACTTAGTCAAGGACACTGGCAGTAAAAATACAGGATGGCAAAAACAGAAAGGTTGTAACTAGGTCAGAGTGTTTTGATGTTTAAGTCTCTTCCTCTTTTGTATAAAACTTGCTGAGAAAAATAAAATTTTGCAGTTGGTCATTAGCCTTCTGGCCCTCTCGATATGTGTTTTGTCATTCCCTTCCTGAGTAAGTGAGACCCTTTGTGTGTCCTGTCTGTTCATTCCTGCCCTGAGCCCTTTGAGGTCAAGGACCTCTGCGATCCTGGCAAAACCTGGCCACCAGCTCAGGGGCATGCTAAAGAAGCTTACCATCTCTTTAGGACCTGGATTAATATAGAGTCATCTGTAAGAAATTAGAACCCCAAGCTGGTATCATCTGGGGTTTGAAGTCATACCACTAAATGGTATAAGGTTCTTATTTATTTTTGTTACTTTATTTATTTATTTTAGCATAATCATCTTGACCTGAGAAATTAACATAGAAACCTGTAGTTTCTCATCAGAAGCAAATTAAAGAGCACTCTGTAGGCATATCCCCTTATCACCCAGGGATCTAGGCCTCCCAAGGAAAATAACTTCCACTGCTATGAGCTTGTAATCATAAACTGCAAAGCACATCAGGAAATAAACCATGAGAGAGTTGGCAGATTTTTTTTTAACTATGTGTGATTTATTTTCAATTGTAATAAAGTTTGGTCACATAGAATTAAAAATATAGAAACTGAAAACATAAGCAATCACATTTTAACTCGAGGTAATTAGTTTCCTTTTACACAAACAACAACAACAACAAAAAAGGTAGACATCTCTTATTTTTTGCCTACTTTGGTTTCCATTTATGTTGCTACTAAATGTTATTTAGCCTGTCTCTCTAAATGTTACACCATTCAGTCTCTGTCTTCCCTAATACCTGTTTTATCTATTTTTAATAATTTTTTTTTCAGTTCTAGGTATTGAACTCAGGGCCTCATGATTGCAAGGCAGGCACTCTACTACTTGAGCCAGTCTACCAGCCCTGTTTTTAATAATTTAGTTATATGTGTATATGTTGAAAAATCAAATAATTCTATAAGGTTTGTTAAGAAAAATCACAGTTCTCATTAACTCCTTCCTAATGCCAACACTTTCACCCTGTTCAGTTGATTATTTTGTTTTGCCTCTATGTCTCTTAATAACTAAATAATATGCCTGTATTATTTCATGATTTTTCAATTTGAGGCATTATCTACTGATTTCCCCCAATACAAAAAGTAATGGTTTAGCTCTTCCCCTTAATTCCTTTCAATACACACCATAAGCACCCCATCTCCTGTTCTCTATAGAGTTCTACAGCCATGTGGCAACAGAAACACATTCTGAGAAATGCTGCATTAGGTTTAGTCTTTGTGTAAACATCACAGAGTAGTTACATGGGCTGGAGGCATGGCTTAAGTGGTAGAGCACTTGCGTATCAAGAGTGAAGCCCTGGGAGGGGCGGGGGTGGGGGAAGAAATGGCCCAAATAATGTATGCATATATGAATAAACAAATAAAAACAAAAAAAGGAGTGAAGCCCTGAGTTCAAACACCAGAACTGCAAAAAACAAAACCAAAACCAAAAAACCAATCAAACAAATGAACCATAGACAGTACAGCCTATTACACACCTAGGCTGTATGGTTTAGCCTATTGATTCCAGGGCCATCAAGAACAAAAAATGATCCCAGAGTAAATCAAGCATAGTACAGTCAAGAGACATGTCAACACAAGATGTTGGCACAACACAGTATACTGTATTACAGTAAACTTTTATAAGTAGAAGTGTGCCATAAAATAATTATTAAAAGTTTAGTAATAGTCACTTATTAAAGTTATCAAGTATTATGTTCTGTGCTTGTTGTGTGTGCATTATTGTCTTAGGACTGGTAATGTAGGGGGTTTGTTTACAGCACCATCAATGGCTACAGTGTTACCAGACAACAGGAATTTTTCAGCTTCATTGTATTGCTCTGCAACCACTGCTGTGTGTGTGGTCCATTGTTGACCAAAAAGATCATTTTGTGGTATATAGCTATACACAGTAGCTTTTCTTAGATCAATTTTCAGCTTCTATATTGTGATTATGTAAATGCTATTTATAATTGTACCATTGTACCATGCAGTAAAATAAACTATGATTACTTTTCCTTCCTGTCATTTTTGTTTTGTTTTATTTACCTGGCTTTCTTTTTTTTCTTTTTCCTTCTTTTCTTTTCTTTTTCTTTCTCTATTCAGTACTGGGGTTTGAACTCAATTCCATGCTTGCTAGGCAGGGAAAGGAACATGTTCCTTATTTATTTGTTTTTTTTGTCAGTACTGGAGATTGAACTCAGGGTTTTCTCCTTACCATTCAAGTGCTCTACCACTTGAGCTACACCTCCAGCCCTGATTTTCTTTCTTTTTTTTTTTTGGTGGGACTGGGGATTGAACTCAGGGCTTCACACTTGCAGGCATTCTACCACTTGAGCCACACCTCCAGTCCATTTTGCTCTGATTATTTGGGAGATGGGGGTCTACAAACTATTTACCTGGGCTTGCCTTAAACTGTGAGCCTCCAGATCTTAGCTTCCCAAGTAACTAGAATTACAGGCGTGAGCCACCAACACCTGGCCAGCCCTGATTTTCTTTGTAGTATTTATCTAATTCAACCAAAGAATCTGTCTGCCTGTTTAAATCTTTAAAAGATTTATCTCATGCAGTTTACCAGTTTCATAGGCATAGTCTGTTTTCTCCAAGTTGTTTTTTCCATTTATTGCCTTTGTTCTTATTTTTCATGCTAAGGGCTTTTCTCAAACTGGTAACTTTTGTTTTGTTTTGTGTTCTACTTAAGAACAGAGGGTTAAGAAGCTGGGTGCACCCTCTGAGAGTAAGAATTGAGCTTGTTGACTCAGCTTTACTGCAGTATGACCAGGTTGCTTGTAGTTGAAAGTGCCCTTATTATTTTTGGGCTGGTTAGATTCCACAGAGAAGTCTCTTTTAATCTCCTGACTGGAAGGTGAAGGCCTGGCCTCAGCCAGCCCCAGCTGATAGGCCTGGTACCTTCTCCATCAGATTATCTGCGGTGAGGCTCCCCAGTTCTTGCAACATGTCAACGTCATCACATTCTATTTTAGTTACCCATTTGGGCAGAGAGATAGTTATAGAACTTTTGAAGGAAGCTGCAAATTCAGCAACACCTGGTAATTGTTCTGGCCAAAGATCTGGCAAGGCATGGTCATGTTTTTCAAAACTTAGCAAAGATGCTTCCAAATGTGTCCCATCTATGGGAGAAGCCATGTTCCAACTCATATCCCGCAGGTTTCTTTTGGAACTTGAGTCCCAGAGGCATGGGGGCGTGCAGAAAAATCCTTTTTTTCCTATTGATTTGGATTCTTTTCCAAATTGGGAAGTCTTTCTAGTGGGAGAGGTGGACAGAATATTTCCCAAAAGCAGTAAGTAGCTCCTGAACTGGAAAGATTGGAGAAGCCATTCAGTGATGTAAAACGCAATTTTACCTTGTTGTAAAGGTGTGTAAGAGTCAGCTAACGTCACACCTAACTGGTGAAGGGAAAGTGAGGGAAAGATCGAAGTCCTGCCTCCCCACTTTCAAAGCCTACCTGAGTTGTGAGGCAGATTTCTCACATGTTCCATGTTCCATCTTCTCTCTCCTGTAGAGGAAAAGCATCTCCACATTTTGATCAACAATGCTGGAGTGATGATGTGTCCCTACTCTAAGACAGCAGATGGCTTTGAGAGTCACTTTGGAGTCAATCACTTGGGTAAGAAATCTGGCCTTACCACAAAGCTAGAGGGAACCTAAAGTTCTCCTTGGAAGACTTTACTCCACATTGGCCCTGAACTGTTGGTCCTGTGTATTTTCCAACAGGTCACTTCCTCCTTACCCATCTGCTCCTACAGAAACTGAAGGAATCAGCCCCATCAAGGGTGGTAAATGTGTCCTCCTTGGCACATCACTTGGGAAAGATCCACTTCCATAACCTACATGGTGAGAAATTCTACCATTCAGGTCTGGCCTACTGTAACAGCAAGTTAGCCAACATTCTCTTCACCCAGGAACTGGCCAGGAGACTGAAAGGTGAGCTTGGGAGAAATGAGTGTGGAGACATGAGTCAGTGGGAGGGAGCAAAAAAACCCCAGACTGGGAACTGTTTTCCTGAGACTGACACCTGAATAGAACCTCCTTCCATAACTATAACTGGGCATGATTTTAGTAAGCATCCCACACTGAATTTTTTATGTGACTGACTGGGAACATGGAAACTCTGACTTTGCATCTGAAAGCTTGGTTTCACCATTTACCAGCTCTGTGACCTGCAGTAGGTAGGTTACCTAGGCTTTCAGGACTTAGTTCTTCCATTGTAAAATGAGGACTGCTTCACAGGTTATTATCAATTAATTCAGGCTTCACAAGAAAGTGCAAGGTTCTTTGTTTTTAACACTCATAGTGCTAATGATAGAAAAGAGGGACCTGAAGTGGCCCTAGATACCGCCGTCATGATAAAATGTACTGAAATGAGTGGGTGGACCTCTCCCTAACAGCAAAGGGTCAAATCAGAGGGAAAGTATGGCCAAGAAGGGGACTCTTCAGTCACAAGTATACAGACGTCCTTAGCATTGTCTTCTCTGTATTTCCAGTAAAGAGAAAGGTAATCTAGGCTAGACAGTGCCTAGGAGTTGAGGTAGGAAAAATTCAGGCTCTAGGAATCAGGCACAGGAGCTCCACTGTTGCAATGGGAGCATCTTACCACAATGGACAGCTGCAAGGTAAGAAGAAGGAAGCCGGTGGTCAGCTCAGCCCATACACCCAGCCTGTCCCCAAGGTATGACATCTTTTATCAGCTCAGGATGGATGAGAATAACTGATGATGAGAACTATCCAAAGGTTGTCAGGGAGCTAGGGTGGCCTGGAGGTGGATAAAGGAGTCTGGTGTGAGATCTGGGCAAAAGCAGAGTGTATGCTAGTGAGTTAACCTGATAATTGTGAGGATTAGGGGGAAAACAGCTGTGATGTGTGTATGTTGGATAGGTGTGTGTTTTTAGCCTAGCTGGCTTCCAGCTGAGATCCTCCTATCTCCACCTCCCAAGTATCTGGAATTAGAGGCATGCACCATCACGCCCAGCCCAGAACTTCAAATCTATCACTGTATCTTAGAGGTCTTTCTATGTAACACATACAAATCTACCCCAGTTCACTTTCTTGGTTGCATTATATTTCATAGTACAGCTGTGCCTTCACTTATTTACCCATCTCCTTAACGGTATCTAGATTATTTCCATTTTGTGGTTGCTGTTTAATTATAATTGTGGTAAATGTTGTGAAGAAGTATGAGGGAAAAAAAAGAAGTATGAGAGCCCATGGATGTTTGAGGGGCAGAGGGAGCTTACTCAACCCGAGTGTTCAGGGAAGACTTCTGAGGAAGGAAGTTGTAAGCTGAGCCCTGAAGGAGGAGTAGAAATTGAGTAAGTTGTAGGTTTGGGTGGAGTGAGGAGGCTGAGGAACATTCCATGCAGAGGGAAGAGAACTTCAAAGGTTTAAGCTGGGTTTGAGCAACTGAGAAAAGTCTGTGATGATACAAGTGGAGGCCTGAGCTGAGATCAAATCTTTATAGAGGACACGGAAAAGATTTTAGTGTTTAGTCTAAGAGCAGTGGGAAACATTTTAAATTGGAGCCTTTTAGAAGTGGTGGGAGAAGGTGAAGTAGCCAATTTCAGTAGACAAGGTGAGAAATGAGGTAGCTTGGATGAGAGTGGTGGAGACAGAGGGCAGTAGACATTCCTAAGAGATGTTTAGAAGTGAAAACCACAGAGCTTATTGACTGATATGCACGGTGAGGTGAGGAATTGTCAAGGGGTGCTCCTGTGGGTCTGGTTGGGTGTGTAGGGAGCATTACCAGCACCAGGTTTGGGCTTAAAAGTAGATGTCTGAGAACTGGGGGCGTGGCTCAAGTGGTAGAATGCCTGCCTAGCAAGCACAAGGCCCTGAGTTCAAACCTCAGTACTGCCAAAAGAGAAAAAAAAGCCCATGCCCCAAAAGTGGATGTCTGAGTCTGCCTTCCTATGGATCTTCTAGGGTAGACACAGAGTGGGCAGTTGGAAATAATGCGGGTCTTCATTTGTTTGTGAAATCCACAAATGCTTGAAAATTCTGGTTTTTTTCACAAGCTTGATACCAAACTCAGTTGGCAGCAAAACCTCACCTATGCTAGAGAGATTGGGTTTTTGGCAGTATATGTGTCTGTTTTATATTACCTTTCTAAAATCAGAAGAAATCTGAAACATTTTTGGCCTCAAGGTTTCCATCAAAGGATTGGGGGCCCAAAATAGCATATGCAAAAGTGTCATTTAACTCTTAACATGCGCCAGGCTCCATTCTAAGGTCCTTTGCATCTATGAACTTACTTAATCCTCAGAACAATCTTGTGAATGCAATTATGATCATCCCCATTGTACAGGTGAGGAAGTGAGGTACACAAACAGGAGCTACACAGCTAAGGAGTGGGCAGCCTGGACACAAACTCCATGCTTTTCACCACCTCATTGTGCTGGCTGTCCTCAGTCTAGAATTCAAAGGAGCAGTTTGAACTATAGATAAAAAATGTGAGTGCCATAAAATTAGAGAGAGTTTAGTGAGCCAGGAGAATTCCAAGATTTAAAGTTTGGATAGCAAATAACGAATGAGGATGTCCAGGAAACCAAAACAAAGCTATCAGAAGGGTTGGAAAATCACAAGAGGTGTGGGGTTATGGAAGCCAATGGAAAAAAAAAACTTTAAGAAGGAGGGAGGGTCAGCAGTGTTAAGTGCTGATCAGTCCTGCTGAGAAACAGCCCTGGCCTGTTCATTGAAACGGTTAATAACCTCTCTGAGCTTTAGCTGCTGCTGCTTTTTTTTTTTTTTCTTTTTCGTTATGAGACTGGGGATTTGAATTTAGGGCTTTGAGCTTCCAATGCAGGTGTTCTACCACTTGAGCCACACCTCCGTTCCATTTTGCTCTGGTTATTTTGGAGATGGGCATCTCATTTACTGTTTGCCTGGGCTGGCCTCAAACTGTCATCCTCTTGATCTCAGCTTCCCAAGTACCTAGGATTACAGGTGTGAGCCCATGGTACCCAGGAGCCTTAGCTTCTTAATCTGTGAAGTGGAGTTATAAATTACTGTGAGTAGTGCTTGTGATGTCACCAAGGGCAGGAAGTGATGTCACCAAGGGCAAAGAGTTCCCATGTTGGGTCACATGTTTGTTTGCTGTCTTTAGCTATTGGTAAAACCAAATTCTGTTTTCCTTCTGTACTTGGCACCCCCACTCCCAGGCTCAGGCGTTACGACCTATTCTGTCCACCCTGGCACAGTCCAATCTGAATTGGTTCGGCATTCACTTTTCATGAGATGGATGTGGAAGCTTTTCTCCTTCTTCATCAAGACTCCCCAGCAGGGAGCCCAAACCAGCCTGTATTGTGCCTTAACAGAAGGTCTTGAGATTCTAAGTGGGAAACATTTCAGGTATGAATGGATATGTCTTTGAAAATGAGATTTTGTTGCCCAAAGGAAATAATTTGGATTTGTCTAGGATGCCATGCCTCTTTACAATGTCTTACATTAGAAAAAAGTTGTATTGCTTTTGTCTTTAATAGGGGAATTTGAACCATTCATATCTTTTGTGGTACCTACTAGGTTTGATTTTTTTCATGCCATCTTTTATAGTAATAATTACATTTTCTGTTTCTGTTCTTCTTTATTTTCTTTATCCCTTTTTGGACTCCTAGTTTTATTTTTTTACATTATAAAGAATTTGAATCTATATTTCTGTATTGTCTTCAGGATTGAAGTAGTACCCATGGACTGACTCCCTTCTTAAATAAGTAAAGACTATTCAAACTTTTTATTGTGGAGAATTTTGAACATGAGTAGAATAAATAGGATAGTGAACCCATATACACCCATCATCCAGCTTTGAAAATTAACCCATGACCAATACTACCTCATCCCATTCTCAGACCCTTCCCATGTTTTTATTCTCCTGTTGCCATTTACCAGCTGAACCTGGGTGATTGGAGCCAAAAAAGAATGGGGGGACTACCGAATCTGTGCTCAATAGCCACTTTAATGAAGCATACTTCTGCTTTTTATTAACTCCTTTTTTACAGAGAGCATTTGGTCAGAAAAAGCATGCCAAGTATTACGTGTCAAGGTTGCATTAGCACAGGAAGCACAGTTAAAATTAACTCTGTTATGTCTCCTTTAAAACGGGAACAGAGAAGCAAGAGAAGCACATGGTCAGCATAACCTTCTTATTTACATCTGAAGGACACGAAGCCATCTGGGAACCTTGAATACTGTCTTTCTGGACATCTGTCTTTCTCACAAGGCCAGATACCAACTCTCACACAGGCAAGGTCTGGTTCCGAGGCTTTTGCCTCAGTTCCTTGGGGCTTTCTCCCAAGGCCAGATACCAACTCACAGGCACAGTCTGGTCTGAGACTTTTGCCTCGGTTCCTTGGAGCTTTCTCACAAGGCCAGATGCCAACTCACATAGGCAAGGTCCCACTGTTGGCTCTGACATTCTCCTACATTATTTTAAAGAAAATTCTATACATTACATAAAATAAAAATTTTAACATGTTTCACTGGACACTAGTGGCTCACACCTATAATCCTACCTACTCAGGAGGCAGAGATCAGGAGGAACGACGCTCAAAGCCAACCCGGACAAATAGTTCTCAAGACCTATCTTGAAAAAACCCATCACAAAAAAAGGGCTGGTGAAGTGTCTCAAGGTGTAGACCCTGAGTTCAAACCACAGTAACACACACACACACACACACACACACACACACACACACACTCACACACACACACACACACACACACACACAAATTAACATGTTTCTGTCTCTACCTTTTAAGATATGGGCTGAAATTGTGCTTAAGCAGGAGAGCACCTGCCTTGTAAGTGCAAAGCCCTGAGTTTGAACCCCAGTATGCCTCCCAAATGCATTATTCATTTAATAAACAAGGGACATTAGAGAAGTGGCTGTAAGTAGCATTAAAATGGGAAAGAAAGGTAAACAGATGATGAAAAGCTTACAATGCCACACGTACAGAGCAGCCCCAGAAGTTGTTTCAGTAGGGAGACAGACAGAATCTAGTCTGTGCTGAAGAAAAACATCACTTGTTTAATGAATGAGTAAGTAATCCAATGAGAAATAGAGTTCCTGACTTAGGGAATGAAAAGGATAGTTGTATGAAAAGGGCCCTGAAGAGGCAGAATTTTTATCAGATGACTAATTGAGGTGGGGACAGAGGAGGATTTGGTAACCTGGGTTTCATGCCTGAGTGACAGGGATTGATGATGACATTAACTGAGACAGTAGACACAGAAACATAACATGTGTGACTTAAGGTTCTAGAATTCTAAAGCAGTAGACATGAACTCTGGCTAACTTAGACAAGGAGATTTACTACAGTGTTAAAGGGGAGAGGTGCTCCTAGATCTGAAGGGAGACTGGAGTACAGGCTTAGAACCATCAGTCTGGCTGGGTACTGCTGCCAGAGTGAGCCAACACCAGCATTGTTCAGTCCTCAGGGAGGAAGCATTGGTCAGAATGATACCAGGTTGCTGTTGCCAGAAGATGGAGTAGATGTGCATTTGGAGTGGCAGTTTTGTACTGCATAATAAACCTGGCTCTATACATGTCTGGTGTGATAAAACACCATGACATGCTACATGTAGAAACATGTAGCAGACAGTTGGAAATGTGGGTCTGAAATTCAAAAGGTAGATTTATATAGTTCAGTACACTGGAATGATTTTTCCAAGAATAACTAGATTCTTCTACCCATGAGATTTAAAAAAAAAAAAGGAAAAAAACAAAAAAAAATCCCAAAAACCTTTATCCTAGTTTTAACTGAGTGGTCTAAAGAAAGTAATCATCAAATTCCTGAGTTAGTAATTATTGAATTGACTTTTATTTATTTATTGTGGTACTACGGTTTTGAACTCAGGGCCTCATGCTTGTTGTGCAGGTTCTCTGCCACTCTGCCAGCCCTTTTTTGTGTTGGGTATTTTTGAGATAGGGTCTCTTGAACTCTTTGCCACAGTTGGCCTCTAACCATGATCCTCTTAGTCTCTGCCTTCCAAGTAGCTAGGATTACAGGTGTGAGTCATCGGCACCCAGCCTGGTTTGACTTTTGAAGGACCTTTCTCATGCCATGATTGTTAATTTTACTTCATTGTGAAGATCCAACAGCAAACCTGTAGACCACTCTTGAGAAATGAACATAAAAGTCTGTTTTGATTAAAGCCTTAGAAGTTTTGCACTAGATTTTCTTTTTTGCTTATTTTTGCTGATCTGCTTTCTCTCTGTCTTTTAAGGATTTGCCTATCCGGACATTTAATGGAATCATATGAAATATAACCTTCCTTTTTTTTTTGGTGGTACTGGGGTTTGAACTCAGGCCTTCATGTTTGCTAGGCAGTGTCCATACGTCCAGCTGCAAACAAAGTCTTTTCTTTCACTTAGCATATTGTTTTCAAGCTTCATCCATGCAAAGCAAGAATCAGTATTATGTCGTTGTTTTATTTTGATGGGACTGGAGTTTACATTCAGGGCCTTGCACTTGCTAGGCAGGCACTGTACCACTTGAACCATACCATCAGCCCTACTTTTTTTTTTTGAGACAGAATCTTGCTATGTAGTTCAGGCTGGCCTGGGACTTATGATCCTACTGCCTCCTGAGTGCTGGGATTACAGGCATATGTCACCACACCTGACTTTTAATTACATTTTATTGCTGAAGAATAGTTCATTGTATGAACATACCATGTACCTATAATCATCGACTTGGGCTGCCATAACAGACACTGTCAACATCCACATCCATGGGTTCCAGGTGTATGAATAAAAGTAATAGAAGATTGAAAATACTCAGAAAAAATGTTACATCTGTCTGTACTGAACGTGTACACAGTGTTCTTTTGCTCTTTACATTCCTTTAAAATGCCGTATAACAACTATTTTACACAGCATTTAAGTCGCCTTAGGTATTTGGTAAGACATCTGGAGGTGATTTAACGTGCATGGAGCGTGTGTGTGGGCTCTGGATCAGCACACCATTTTATGTGAGGAGCTTGAGCACGCAGAGGGGGTCCTGGAACCACAGACTGGGCAGCTTCAACAACAGATACTTTTCCCACAGTTCTGGGAAACTGAAAGTCCAAGATGAAGGGATAACAGGATTGGTTTCTGACAGAGGCTTTCTTCCTGGCTTGCAGATGGCCACCACCTCTCCCGTCCTCACATGGCTTTTCCTGTATGTTTACATGCCTGTTAACTCTTCTCCTAAAAGGACCCCAGTCTATTGGACTGAGACTGCACCTTTATGACACTATTTAACCCTGATTACCTCCTTAAAGGCCCTGTCTCCAAATATAGTCAAATTAGGGATTTAAGGCTTCAACAGGTGAATTTTAGCATGACAATTCAATTCCTAACAATTGTCACAAATCAATTGTCCATAAATGCAGGAATTTACTTTGCTCTTTTAATTCTGTTCCATTCATTTATGTGTCTTATATTTATGCCAGTTCCACACTATCTTCATTACTGAAACTTTGTAGTGAATTACAAAGCCTTTTACCTATTTTAATTTTTTACCAAAATTCTATTGGAATTACCAACACCATGACCATGCTGGAAATATAACCACGCTGAAGTAGCTGTTACTCTAGTATTTCAATACAGCAAGAAGCCCTCACTGGCTGCCAGTCCCTTAATCTTTGACCTCCCAGCCCATAAACATGAACTAATAAATTTCTGTTCCTTATAATTACCTAGGCTGTGGTGTTGTTATAGCAACACAAAGTAGAAAAAGCACTGGGTACTTGTTACTGTTTCTTTTTTGCTATCCTCTTCCTTCTTTTGTGGTTACAAAACTGGCTTGTCACAGGAATTTAAAGTTTTAACTGCAGGTAGTCATGTTTTTTTGTTTTTTTGTTTTTTTAACCACTCCACATATCTATGACCTTAGTGGCATGACACTGTCTTAAGGCCCTGTAGAGTGGACCTTATGAACTTACTGAAGCGTTTTCAGATGGCAGCACTGTCACTGAAGTTAAACGTATACATATAAAGGAGATATAAAGATCAAATGAGGCACATTGTACGTCAAATGATATTCTGGTCAGAAGTGGTATAATAAGACCTAAAATGGAATTCTATTTTCTCAAGGGTAAAGAAACATTAGAGAATGAAGAAATAGGCCAGCACTGGCCCTGTAAAGTACCTGGAGAACAAGTGATCCCTTGGTTGTTTTGGGTTTTTTTCCTGTCTTATTCTTTATCCTAGGCAGAGAGCAGACTTCCTTCTTAACCCTCTGTATAACCCTCTCTTTCCTTTTCAGTGATTGCCATGTGGCATGGGTCTCTTCCCAGGCTCGAAATGAGACAATAGCAAGGCGACTATGGGACGTCAGCTGTGACCTGCTGGGTCTCCCAATGGATTGATAGATGATGGCACTTGAAGCCGAAAGAAGGATGCAGCAGACGATGCAATAGTCCCTGTTGAAATGATTCTCCTTCAAGGTGACCGAGACCTTGAGTACAAAGAGCAGAATCTTCCAGCCTTGCCTGCTTCACGTTAAATCCCTCTACACTGCCAGATTCGACCAGACTTACTTTGTTCCTGTTACTGCCAGAATTTCTAGCCACTCATTGGAGAAGACAGCCCTCATGTGACCTGCACAGCTCATATTTTCCTTCTGAAACCTCCTCCCTAGAAGAATTGAACCTCTGGAAGGGTTGAAGTATGGGATCATGGACTAGGTTCTTCCCTCTTTGTTCACAACATAGTTGTTCTTCCCAGCCACCCCATCTTTATTTCAACAGGGCCTCAGTCACCCTGCAACTTCAGCTGAGCCCCACAAGTCATAGTGGCTTGGCTCAAGAGCAGGGCTTCATGGCACCAAATCAGGATTCTTTCAGGAAACTTCACTGAATCTGGATTGTGTCCTGGCCTCACCCAGACAACTAAAGCTACTGCTGTTGAGACACTTTCCTCTGTCTAGACCACAGAGGAACTTCCTTTTTCTAAGAAGTTTGTAGAATTTGGGGGAGGACAGAAACAAAAATAAAGCTAAACTGTCATTTTCCTGCTGTTTCTCAGACTAGTAAGAAGGTAATAAGAGGAGCACTATGAAAAGATGGGCCACTTGGCTTCAGTTACTAAACCCATTCACATGGAGACCTCCTTTTTGTGCCTTAGTTTCTCTTACAAAACCAGAAGGGGAAAGGAAAGGCATTTTGGTAATTGTCATTGTTGTTATCTTTGTGTGTCGACTTGTGTATTTTGCAGTTGGGAGTATTTTCACAAAATTCTTAATAGCTACAAAGAAACAGTAAGACCCAAAGAAACAGTAAGATCCTAGGGCAGATAAGTGATCAGAGATGGAGCAAGCCAGTGTCATGGAGTCTTCCATATAATTTAATTGCAAGGGGAAGCAGCTCATATGTAGATCACTCACCAAAAAGCACATGGTAGCGGGGAGAAGTTAAAAAAAAAAAATTCTGGCAGCTAGTGCATGAAATGAAGCAACTGGAAGGCAGCAATATACAGCTTTAGAAAAATGAAGGATGTGCACCCCAGTTAGCAAGACAGATGAAGTTACTGTTCCAGTCACCAATCAATGTGGCAAAACACAAAAACCTTTTTTTTTTGGCAGTCCTGCTGGAGTTTAACTCCAGGCCTTTTCTTTCTATGCAGGTGCCCTGCCACTTTAGCCATACTCCATGCCCTCCAATTCTTTATTTAGGAAAATTATCCTAAGAACTGTTACCAATAATTACAGTCAATTTAATAATCTTTCAGGACATTTCTTACATTATCTTAAGATTAAGCCAATTTTTAATATATTTTTTTGTGGTGCTGGGATTTGAACTCAGGGTCTCACGTTTGCTAGACCAGTGCTCTTACTGCTTAAGCCACTCTGCCAGTCCTCTTAACAAGATTTAAGATGTCAATTTAGGGACAAAGGGGCACAGCTCAGTGATTTCCTGGCATGTGTGAGGGGCTGGATTTATTCGATTCCTTGCACTGCAAAAGAAAATGATAAAATGTCAACTTACTAAAATTCTATGTTTTATATTTGGAGAGTTGTCATCAAAAGTAAAAGAAGTCTGGAATTGGAAATGTTCCCATCACTTGTTTGGAGTTTATGATTTTTTTTGGACTGACACATTTTGACTTTGGTAGGGAAGAGCTATAGGACACTGTCTTCATGTCTTGTATTTGTAAATAATCTTGTCAGACTTGTTTTGGCCAATAAACTATATATTTAGAAATGGTTGTTTTGTGGGAAAATTGGAAGTTTTGATAGTGTTGTGAATAACTGAATTAATATTTTACCTAATTTATACTGAACTGCAGTTATAAACCTTTTGGTTGTCACATTTTTGTTAGAATAAAACTGTCAGAATTAAAAGTTTAATTGTAGTTTAAAAAGAAAACACTTACAGTTATGCAATTACTTCTCATCCTAGATGATAAATTTGTCTCAAAATCCAGCTACAGGATAACCTCAATTCATGCTATTAATTTGGGTTCTTTGATCATTTAACCACTCACCCATTTCCTATCTTTTTTTTTCTTTTTTGTGGTACTGGGGCTTGAACTTAGGGCCTACACCTTAAGCCACTCCACCACCCTTTTTATGTGATGGGTTTTTTTCGAGATAGGGTTTGAGAATTCTTTGCTTGGGCTGGCTTCAAACTGTGATCCTCCAGATTTCTGCCTCCTGAGAACCTAGTATTACAGGCGTGAACTACCAGTGCCCGGTTTCCTCCCTCTCTTCAGCTATCACTGGATAGTCCCAGGCTTTCCTTTTTGTACCTGCCTTTTATTTCTATAACAATGATTCAGACTTTGTCATCTCTATGCTCACAGCCCAAAGAATTTGTTACTGTCGAATCAATGGCCAATGACCCAATCTAGTAAAAATAAAGGCCCAAAACATAAAAATCAGCCGTGCATACATATCCACCTCCCCACCAACACCCCCTGCCCATCTCCCTTGCTGGGGTGGAACCCCGAGCTTTGCTCATGCTAGGTGAGCGCTGTGTCACAGCTACAACCCCTGCCCCATTCCTTTCAATAGTGGGAACAGCTTAAATATTGTACTCCAAGTAAACGTTTGAGAACGGCCTCCTTGAGCAAACCACCATGCATAGAAATTTGTATCCACGGAGGGCAGGATATTAAGTTATTTAATTATCAATACGTTACACTTGAAGGCAGGTTAGACTTGAGGAAGCCGGCTCCGCCTCCCACACCAGAACATAAATTATTCGAGAGCAGAGAGTACATCTATGCTGTTCACAAACATACCCAGATCCCCGCACTGCGCCTGCGCCGAAGCACCTAGTGTGAAGGAATGCACTGGGCGGGGCTCGCCGCTGGAGGCTGTGAGCGTATTTGGGGGCGACACTATCCAGGTTCCACCTCGGAAAGCGTTGACCCTGACCCCCTGACCTCCCCAGTAAAATTGCTGTACCGCCCGAGGACAAGCGGGACCCTCCTCCGCCTTTCTTTCCGGGGGCTGGAAGGGGACATTTACTCAGAACGCAAGCAAGGAAGAGTGGCAAAGCAGAGCAGGGCGTTAACAGCGAAGATGACGCCTAGAGACCCTCCACAACAGGGTGTAAAAGGGCAGACTCCTTTGGGCAACCCGGGGTAGGATTGCCCTCGTACTCACTACAACTCCCGGCATGCACTGCAGCGTCCGCTCCGCCCCCCCCCCCCCCCCCATTGCCGGCCGGCGAGCCTGAGTAGGCAGCCAAGCTGCTCATCCCGTGGAGGCGGGGGGAAGAGTCCCCTTGAACCCTTCGGCTATGGCGCCTCCCCCAGCCCAGGCCGAGTATTTCTAGGTTCATGTATCGCTACTCGCGCCAGCGCGGCGTCGCTGCTCCGGGTGTCGCCGGGTAGCCTCGCCTGCCGGTTTTCTGTCAGGCTTTCGCGCTGGACGGTCCCGAGGTGAGCGCCAAGGAGTGGGCGTTCCGGCTTGAAGGACCGCGCCGCGGCCCCGGAAGCGCCTGATTCCCGGCGGTCGCAGTGATGGCTTCGGGGTTGGGCGGCTGACCGCTGGGCTAGGAGCGGGCCCAGCGCCCAGAATCTCGGCGGCCGCTGCTCAAGCGCGGCCTGCACCATGGCCACCTCCGCCGCCTCCTCGGAGCATTTCGAGAAGCTGCACGAGATCTTCCGCGGCCTCTATGAAGACCTACGAGGGGTGCCCGAGCGGCTGCTGGGGACGGCGGGGACCGGTAAGGCGGTGGCGGGAGCAGCCCTGGGGAACTCGGCCGGGTGCTGCAAGAGCGTCCTCTCCTTCCAGACCTGGCCCCTGTTCCCCGCTGCAGTCCTGACACGCCCCCTACGGCTCCACGTCTGGGTGTTTTCTCCCCGGGGTTCTCAAATTTTTCTTTCTCGTCCCTCCCCCACGAAAAGCAGGGAAGGGGTTCCAAAATCTGTGGTCCCCATATTTCAGTAAAATAGATATTTTTTTTTCCCCATGCCGAGGATCAAATCCAGGGCCTCGCGCAAGGCAAGCTCTCTATCCACAAGCTACAGCCCCCAGCCCTAGAATTGGTTTCGTTTGCAGTTCTGTTTTTTGTTTTACGCATTTAAAAAGCATTATTCTCGAGAGGTTTATAGTTTTCACCATATGGACAAAAGATCCATAGCACAAACAAAGGCCAGTAACCCAAAAGAATCATAACTTGTGGTGTTTGGGATGTAAAAGGTTGAATGGGAGCTTGCTGGGGAAATGGAAAGAGGCAACGAAGGAATAAACAAATTGAATCATATCAACTATGGAGTTTAAGGAGTATGAGGGAAAGTTGCAGGAAATAAGGTCAAAAGCCAGACTGTAGAAGAACCTGTTAAGAGTTTTGGACTTAATACGGAGAATCAGTAAAGGATTTTAGACTGCTGAATAATGTGTATTTTATTTTAGAAGCAGGGCTCTGATGACTGGAGGATAAGAGAGTGATAGGGACAGTGTTAAAGGCCTCCATGGCAGTTGTCCTAGGTAGCTTGGGAATCTGGAGAGTGAATCCTCCATTCAAGAGGTGATTCTGAGGCGGAAATTGATGAGCCTGACTGAATAGAGGAGTGATGGAGAAAGATTGAAGGGTTTCTGCGTTTTCTAACTTTGTCAGTTGAGTGAATGATGAACCTAAATAAGAAATATGAGAGGCTGGGGGGCAGATCTCAAGTGGTGGAGTGTCTACTTAGCAAGCATGAGGCCCTGAGTTCAAAATCCAGTATCCTAACTCCCCCCCACCCCCACCCCCACAAAAAGACAAGCAGACTAGTTTGGGTTGTGGATAAGAACATCAAGACTATGTGTCGAATAAAGATCATAATGTATGTCCATTCTAGCCTGACAAAATATTTCTTCTGCCATTAAAAGTTAACATTTATGAAGAACATATTAATGTGAATTGAGAGGCAGGATAGTAATACTCGAAAGCAAGAATTCTAGGGCCACACTGCCTGGGTTAAATCCACATCTTGGTAGCTGTGTGACCTTACAAGTTACTTCACCAAACTAGTTTTCCAAATAAAATGCGGGATAAATCATAGCATCTAAGTTCATAGGGTTTTGTGTGGAGTAAATGAGTTAATATATGCAGAGCCCTTAGAATACTACCTGACAGAAGTAAGAGCTCTTAGCCATTGCTTTCAATACATGGGAAATCTGGTATTTCATTTAAGTGAAAAAGAATACTAGCTCTTTTTACAGTTACTTTCCTGTTGCTCCACTTTTTTTTTTCCAATACATTTATCTTCTAACATATGCAGAACTTTACAACATAATATTTACAGTGTTTGTCTTCCTGTCACTAGAAGGTAGTCTCAAAGTGGGATCAGTCCATAAATCAGCAGCATCAGCACCATCTGGGAACTTGTTAGAAATGCAGATTCTCAGGCCCTACTCAAACTTGCTGAATCAAAACTGCTCTTTAAACAGCCCTCTAGGGAATTTCCGATGGCTACTCAAGTTTGAAAGCCTGGGCTGGAGTGCAAACTCAGTATTTTGTTTTATTATGTTTTTTTTTGCCTGTACTGAGGTTTGAACTCGGCCTCCAGCTTGGTAGGCAGCAGCTATCACTTGAGCCAATCCACCAGCCCTGTTTTATTATATATCCTAAGCTTAGAATAGTGCCTAGTCCCTGCTAGGTGGTCTATAAATATTTGTTGAATAATTGAATGTATCAATACTGTGACTTGGGAAGAAAATAACTATGAAACTGAGAAAAATTTATTTCTGTTTGCTTTTCACATTTTCATTACTCTTAAAAACTGACCTACACATCTATTAAAAATGAAAGATTTATTTTCCCTAAAGTATAGTCTGTATTCAGTTTCAGTCTTTGAAGGGTAGCTGGCACAATTTGTCCTATTCTAGGAAGGTTTTGTAGCAGTGGCAATCTTATTACCATATATGATCCACTTAATATTACATTAAGCACCTACAACATTTCTAGTTTTGGGTTTGCACTGTTTGTTTCTCCAAAACCTTAAGTGCTATAATTTCTTAACCTAATTTTTTTTTTTTAGAAGTGCATTTTTTTTATTCATATGTACATACAATGTTTGGGTCATTTCTCCTCCCTTCCCCCCCCCCCGCCCCTTCCCTTAACCACCCCACCCCTTCCCTCTCCCCCCCACCCCCTTGCTTCCAGGCAGAAACTATTTTGCCCTTATGTCTAATTTTGTTGAAGAGAGAGTATAAGCAATAATAGGAAGGACCAAGGGTTTTTGCTAGTTGAGGTAAGAATAGCTATACAGGGAGTTGACTTGCACTGCTTTCCTGTACATGTGTGTTACCTTCTAAATTAATTCTTCTCAAACTAAACTTTTCTCTAGTTCTTGGTCCCCTTCTCCTATTGGCCTCTGTCACTTTAAAGCATCTGCCTTAGTTTCTCTGTGCTTAACCTAACTAATTAATATGTTAAGTACCTATGATCATGAGTTTTACTTTTGGTTTTGTAGCCTATTTGTAATGAGTGTGGTATGTAGTAAAATTATTGAAAGTTTCTGTGGGGAGCAGAGTAGGAGAAGCCTATGAGGACATAAGCACAGTCCCAGCCACAGAATAAGGCTAGCATAAGATACAGAGTAGCTGCTTTTCCTAAGATGTTTATGTCAAATAATCTGTAGGCTGAGATTTGGCACAGCCCCAGCCATAGAAGAGAGTGAGAAGATGAGCTGCAGCTCAGCTGCTTTTTCTGAGTTGTTTAGAAGCAGGAACACAGATTCCTCTTTTTACAATGTCACACCCCTCCCTGAGAACTGTTGCTCCACCTTCTCGTTTATCACTGGGTATAAAAGACTCGCCGAAGGGTGAGTGAGGCTTTTTGGATGAAAGCAGGTTTTTTTGATGAAGGGAGGCTTTTGGATGAAGGGAGGCTTTTGGATGTGGGGTTTTAGCAGAAGGGAAATTGCTGGAGGCCTTTTGATGAAAGGGCTTTTTGGCTGAAGGGAAAAGAATTGACTGAAGGGGATTGCTAAAGCTAAAGAGAGAACATGGGACAGTGCAAGTCTGCACCAAGAACTTTATACATGGGCTTTAGAAAAACTAAGCTAAAGAAAAGCTAAAGAGAACATGGGACAGTGCAAGTCTGAGGGCAAGGACTTTAAGAGAGATTATGTTAAAGAAAGCTAAGAGAAAACATGGGACAGAGTGAGTCTAAGGAAAGAAACTTTAAAGAATAGAAAAGAAGACTTTTAGAAGCAAGGTTTTAAAGTATTGTAAAGGAATAAGGCCTTAAAAGAGAAAAGAAGCAGAGTACAGAGAAGAGATTAATACAGATTAAGAAACAATGGGACTATTGTGTTTCTCCACTGAGCTCCCAACACACCTGGCCCCAACTTTCTGTCTATCCTGTGTCCTTTCTGCATCCCTCATCACCTCCAGTTAGGCCTGTTTGGCCGGTGGGCAGCCACCCCATGGCTATCAGGGACTCTCTGCTCCCTCCTTCCCTTCATGATTACCATGGCAACTCCTGCTGGCGGGCAATGGGTCCTGACCTGTCCTACAGATCCATATTACCCCGAGCTCCTCCCCACCAAACCTCGACCTATCCCGATGCCCCTGACTTCACCCAGGCTATAAAAAACTGGGCTGCCATTTCTCCGGTGTGACTTCTCTGGCCCTGCTCTTTGGGGATGGTGAACCTCGCACAAGAGCACACTCTCAATAAAGCCTGCTTGCTTTGTTATTTGGCTCCAATTTGGCCTTCCCATCACTAATAACCAAGAGAGAGAAAAAGCTCATGTCAGTTTTCCATTTTAATTCACTTAACTTTCAGAATATTGTACACAAGACTCCACTATTTTGAGTCAGAAAAAAAAAAAATCACTGAGGAATACGAGATGCCCCAGGCTGGTAAACACTAATTCCTCACAGGCTATAACGTTTTAATTTTCTCAACTCTTCATATTCTGGTGAATTTTGGCTGTCCCTAGGTCTTCTTGCCTAAGGATTTACTTTCAAAAACAACAGTAGTTCCTATTTATTGAATCTTTACTATACCTGGAACTTGCTAAGTGCTAGTTTGCATTACTTCTCTTAACCCTTTCAAACAATTCTGTGAAGCCAGTATTATTACATATTCGGTTTACAGATGAGGAATCTGATGCCTTTTAATTTCTATATGGTTTGAGAGTAAGTAAACTGTCTACAAAGTGAGGCTGTAGGTTCTAGAAGTGGTACAGTAGAGCACCAGAAGGAAAATATTTTTAAAGAACCCAGGTGAAACTGAAGTTATTTCCCAGAACTGTAGTAGACTGAATTAGTCATTCTTGGGTTGGCAATTCAGGCCCCCGTAAGAGATGGGGAACATTAAGGTAGGCTTTCTGTTTTTCAAAGCAGGCAGTTTCCATTGTATTCTGTGTCCAGAAGATGGTGCCATCATCCACCTGTTACAAATGAGACAGTTAGTATAAAAGTGAGTCCCTCACACAGGTTTGGGCAGGCATGTGGCATGGGGGATAGTGGTTCTGGAGTAGCTCATTCTTGATTCTAGTTCCCATCCTATTTTACACATGTAATATGTATCATTCTAATTTCCTCAAAAAAAAAAGTAAGAGATTTTGTTTTTTAAACATATTTACTAATTGCTAAAGACTATAGACCCTAGGAACTCAAAAACATCCTTCAATTTTATACTGTGCTCTACAGAGGCATTGACTTGAGAGACAGGAGACTTGCATTCTAGAATTAATGTTGCCCCACAGCCACTCCTCCCATGGCCTTGGAAAGGCACTCAGTTTTTCAACTACAAAAAGGAAAGGTTAGAGTAGGTGATCCCTGACATCCATCCCAGCTCTAGCAGCCATTGGCTTCTGAGATGAAAGCATGAAAAGGCAGCTAGTGATTCCTCTCATTGGATAAAGATCAGCCTCTTTTGAACTTTTATATATTTGCCTTCCTGGCTTCATGATCAGAATGAATGATTTCAGTCTTTCCTTTTGTTTTAAATCTTAGTTCATAAAGGAGCTCAAAATGTGAAGTTTTTCAAATTATTTTTAAAGGGGTTGCATTTCTTTTAAAAGTCTATAAGCTATTGAGCACTCATAGGAGGAGGTGTGAAATTAGGCAAACAGTGGACTATTTCAACTCTAAAAAGACTGAGAAGCAAGGGTCAGGTGCGGTGGCTCATACCTGTAATTCCAGCTCCTCAGGAGGTAGACCTTTGCAAGGATCATGGTTTCAGGCGAGCCAGGCAAAATGTTAGCATTGCCCCATCTCAACCAACAACTAGGTGTGGTGGTACATCTCTGTGGTCCCGGCATCACTTACAACATAGGTAAGAGGATCATGATTCAAGGTCAACCCCAGCTAAAAATACAAAATCACTAAAGCAAAAAAGGGCAGGGGGGCATGGGTCAAGTGGTAGAGTACATGCCTAGACAGGACCATTGCCTGAGTTCAAATCCCACTACCACCAAAACAAAAAAGACTGAGAAGGCTCATAAGCCTACCTCTACTTCCCCTACTTTCACTGATGTATTTTTTTAATCATTCTAGAATTTGCCTCTTGAATGTAGATTTTTCAAATCCATTAACAAAAGAATAATAAAGGAGGAAGTCTTACAGCTAACATGAGTGCAGAAAAATCTCAGTCCCCATACATTTCTAAATGCCTTTGGGGTGATAAGTATTTCTGCCCCTACCAGAAAGAAATGGGGAGGCTATCCTAAGCAGAGGGAATGGTCTCTCCAAATGTGTGGAAGCAGTAATGAGTGTTTGAAACTTTTCTATCTTTTCTAGAAGAGAAGAAGAAGTTGATCAGAGATTTTGATGAAAAGCAACAGGAAGCAAATGAAACGGTGAGAACAGATGAGGAGCAAGCAAGTCCTTGTTTCTTCTACTTGGTGTTGGTCTTTTCTAGAATTAATGCTGTGACTGATCACAGATTACCTATTCCTGTCTATTAATCTTGATTTTTGACTATTACTAAAAGAGACTATTTGGTGGAGATGGGTATTGGTTGGCAGGTGATAAACACAAGTAGGTAAAGTCTGAAGACTGTCCTGAAAAAGGTTTTGGTAACACATTCCTCATGTTAGTAGTACAGTCATTCCGATACTTCTACTCAAGTGGTCTTTTAAAACCTCTTAAGGGCTGCCCATTAGGATAGGTTACTGTTCTTGCTGTCACAGAAAATGTAGGCCAGAGATGATTCTAGCCATATTCCTTTGTGTCTTCAGACAGCATGGTAGCTGGATTTGGTTCTTCAGGCAAATCACATGTGAACAGGATGAGTTCCAGTTAGAACCTGTTAGAAATCAGTTTGGGTTGCTGAGTGGTTCAATAGGGTCTGCTTCTCTCTTAACCTGTGGCTTTTCTTTAGAAAAAAATTTTGTGTTCTAACCCTTTGGAAGCAAGAGTCCTAGCTCCTTCCACTGTAGATTTAGCAAATCCATTAAGATTGTAGCTAAAATCCAGGTCCTTGGTAATAAATACTCTGCAGAAATAGCTGCCCCTACTTTTTGCTACCCTGAGAACAGACCAAGAAGAAAATTTTTTAGGCCAGAGAACTTCCTTGCTGAAGATCAATTTTCCAGTTATTCCAAGGAAGTTCTGAGTAGTTAAGCCAATCTGCATATTTTTCTCATTCTGTATCTGTTTTAAGGAAGACCAGGCCACTAGACTGGAAACTGTCTCCATAGTGGGAGTAATGGACACTTTTTTTTTTTTTTTTGGTGGTACTGGGGCTTGAACTCAGGACCTGCACCTTGAGCCCTTTTTTGTGATGGTTTTTTTCGAGATAGGGTCTCGTGAACTATTTGCTGGGGTTGGCTTCGAACCATGATCCTTCTTGATCACTGCCTCCTGAGTAGTAGGATTACAGGCGTGAGCCACCAGCTCCTGGCTGGACACTTAATACCAGTATGCAGCTGTGCATAGCCATGGTACCTGTTATGTAATGAGTCCTCTTTCAGTTAACATCTTGGTAGCATTTTAAAAATCTTTAAGCCACTACTGATTTGTTTGGTGTTCAGATACTTTCTTTCTCTGAATTTGGCAAAATTAATAATTCTGTTCTCATCCTTAGCAAATGAAAGTTAATTTGAGGTCTCTCATGATCATGTCTATGTGTTACATTTTACTTATCCCAGAGAAATGGTTATCTGATTCCCCAGAGCAACCTGCTTCTGGGCCCCTAGTTATCTGTCTTAGAGATAGTTTACAGAAGGAAGAGGAAGAAGAGGAACCTTGATACCAACCTGTATCATTTTTAGTATAGTATACGTCAGTGTACTTCTTGTTAGCAGTGTTGAGCCATATCAGGCTAAAAAATTTGTATATTGAAGCCAAGAATTTGAAGATTTTGAATCTTGAGTCATCTTACTCTATAACCTTGAGTAGGTTTCTTTACGTTGTATGTAAACTGGAGAACGTATTTCCTACTCTATTGATTTGTTGTGGGAACTAAATGAGAATGTATGTAAAACATTTAATAAGTTATATAGTACACCTAATTTATTTTGTTGATTTTTGCAGTGTTGGGGATAGAGTCCAGGATCTTGGAAATGCTTGATCGGCAAGCACTCTGCCACTGAGCTGTCCTCTAACCCACTAGTTCATTTGTCTGACATGTATCTTTTCAGTGAAAGCCTTCTGGGCACTATTTTTTAAAGGCATTTGAAATGAAGTGAACATGCATTTGGGGCCCCAGCCTCATGGAGCATACCACCGAATGTTGTTGGGGGTCATCTGTGGCTTGATGAGTTCCAACTAGGCATATCCTAAAGGAGAGAGGGAGAGCCAGGCCGCCTACTCATTGTTTTCTGTCTTCCTAGCTGGCAGAGATGGAGGAAGAACTACGGTATGCACCCTTATCTTTCCGTAACCCCATGATGTCTAAGCTGCGAAACTACCGGAAGGACCTTGCCAAACTCTACCGGGAAGTCAGAAGCACTCCTTTGACAGCCACACCTGGAGGCCGAGGAGACATGAAATTTGGTGCATATGCCTTAGAGAATGAGCATATGGTAAGTGTTGGCTTTTTTTTTTTTTTTTTTCCCCTTTATGGGCCTGTGGTACAAGGATTAAACAGTTCATGTTATCAGTGCATACTGGATTTTTGTTGTTTTTCCTGTCTTTGTTCTCATTCCTGCATCCAGTTCCCCTTCTCTCCTCTGGTACATGGTCTTTTTAATTCAGCTCTTTCTAAACTATATGCTTTTTTAGATTACTTTGTGTACATATAGACAAATAGGCAATGGATTGGTACTTTGTGTGGTAACAGCATATCACTGTTTCCTATTTTTGTCTGGACTATTAATTGAACCTGTTGATCTAATGGCTTTTATTCTTTTTTTTTTTTTTTTTTTGGTGGTACTGGGATTTGAATTTGGCCTTATGCTTGCTAGGCAGGCATTCTACCACTGAGCCACTCCACCAGCCCTATTTTGGATTGGTATTTTCAAGATAGGGTCTGGTGAACTATTTGTCTGAGTAGGCTTCAAACTGTGATCCTCCTGATTTCTGCCTCCCAACTAGCTAGGATTACAGGCATGAGCTACCAGCACCTGGCTCTTTTATTCTTCCATTTAAATTTTAACTTTTTCAAGTGTGCCCAAAAAATTCAGTTAGGTTTTAATTTTGTGTGTGTGTGTGTGTGTGTGTGTGTGTGGTTACTGGGGTTTGAACTCAGGGCCTCATACTTGTTAGGCAGGCGTTCTACCACTTGAACCACTCCACCAGCCAGAAGTTTAATTCTTTTTTGAGACAGGGTCTATGTTGCCTTCCCAGACTGGTCTCCATCTCCTGGGCTCAAGTGAGAGAGGCTTCTCAAGTAGCTACTCAGGTAGTTTTTAATCTATCAGAGTATTGTTACAAAATTAGTCTAAGCTTTCCTCTACTTTAATATCAAGATGGACCAACAACTGATATAGTAGAAATGCAGAGTGCTTCTCTGTAATGGTCCTTCTGACACCCTATTTAGTACTGTACTGGAGTAAGCCAGAGTGCCTAACATTCAGAATTCTAATGTATAAAATTGAACTAATTAAAAACCTGTATTCTGTAACCATCTAGAGAAGTTGGATAGTTAAGGGAATAAAGTAAAACTTCACTAGTATTAAATTTAATGTGCTGCATTTGGATTAAATTCCACAAGTATGAAGTAGAAAAATTGACTGGGAAGTAGCATGAGAAAAGGAAAGGGGCTCACCACTTCAGACTGAACAAAAGTTAGTGATAGAGTTTTAATCGAATCCCATTTTGTGGCGCATCTTGATTATAGTTGAAAGGAATGACACTAGTGTGACATTGCTGATGTCAAAACAAGACAATTTGAGAATGATGTAAAACTTGTGAAAGAGACAGGAAAGAGGCAGGTGAAGCTTATTAGAATAGAAATTGTAAAAGTGACTTTCGTCGTTTAAAAATAAAAGGGTTATAAACCCAAACATTTCGCTTTAAAATCATTAGTTTCAGAAATTATAAGTTATAACATTTTTGAGAAGGGGATCTCAGTGTTTTGCTTGAGGTGGCCTGAAATGCCCAATCTAACATGTGCTTCCTGCCCCTGCATCCCAAGTAGCAGGGACTATACGTGTTCAACACCATGCCCAGCTCCATAAATTATGTTAGATAACAATTACCACCTTCAGTAGAATTATTCCAAATCTGTTTGAGGACAATTTGAGTGATGTCTTTTTGTGCTCTTTTAGCCTAATCATTTGAAAATCTGTATCTTTTATTTAAAAAAACTTTTTTCTTTTGAACTGAACTTCATTTGTAACTAGTTTTATTTGAAACTCATTCAGTGGTTTCCTTATCCACTGCTTTGTAGGCTGTTTGTTACATGAAAATGCTTTCTGCTTCTCTGAGAATCTACTTCTTGACGATGTCCTTACTGCCATGTCATGTGTCCTATTGTAAGCTCTGTGAGCTGGGCCTCAATTGTGCTGTGAATAGCTCAGAATGTGGTGCTGCACCCCATCTATCTGTGGTTATTAATTCTGGCCTGACAAAGGCTACTTTTGTTCTCATGCTCTCTGTGTTTAGGATTATAGGTAGAGTAGAACTTCAGTGGGGATTTAGAGAATGAGGGCACCTGAGTTGGGAAGCTTACTTGAGCCCCAGATGCTACTTTCCCTAAGACCACATTACCAGTGTGATCATTTTAAAGTTGTGTTTTGGCCTGAGGCATTTTGGGGGGCTCACCCTGAATGTATTCCCCTAAGTTTTTTTCCAGAATATAGTAATGTCTCTGGCTTCTAAATGATTTATTTATGTGCTAAGAATATCTTGTTCGTGGTCCCTAAATCCTCAGGACCACTCAAGTGGGAATTTTCAGTGAACTAATCTTTTTCAAGAGCTATGGAGGTTAGCTGGTTTGCTTGTAGCACTATCATAGTTAAGACTGTGTGCATTATCAGAGGTCACTACTGCACCTCCCAGTGTGGGCTGCTGCCTCTCAAGTTACTAGTCCAAGAAACATGTTGAAATAAACTTGAACTGGTCTGCAGGGTTTTCCCTGCAGCTTTTTTTCAGTCTTTTTCTCTTTGCTTCACTTAAGTGTAACAAGCATGGCATGACAGGCACTATGAGCCTGCTGATTGGACTTCAGGTTCACTTTACTCTGATCTGGAATAGGATCTTTTTTGTTTTGGTGAGGCTGGGGTTTGAATTCAGGGCTTTGCTCTTGCAAAGCAGGCACTCCTTGAACAGTATCTTATAGCTCATTAGCATCTTTGGTTCTATCTTAAAAGTTGGTCTTCTGTATATTCACTGCTTCTGAATACTCCACTAGCCTTGGATTGCAAATTTTTTTAATAGGAAAATTGAATATCTGAAGATTTTGGCATCCTCAGTGGTCTTATAACCAGTGCTCCGAATATACTAAGGAATGACTATAATGAAAATTATTGCTTACTATATCCTTTTTACACATGGAAGGTCATAAGGAATAAACCAACAGTGAGTTTATAATGGAAGGAGTCCTAACTTTTCCAACTTTTCCTTTCTATACTCCTATCAGAATCGGCTCCAAACTCAAAGGGCATTGCTTCTACAAGGCACTGAAAGCCTAAACCGGGCCACCCAAAGTATCGAGCGTTCCCATCGGATTGCCACAGAGACTGACCAGATTGGTTCAGAAATCATCGAAGAGCTGGGGGAGCAACGAGACCAGTTGGAGCGTACCAAGAACAGAGTATGTCTGGGAATATGGGGAAAGTGTATAGGTCTACCACACTTGGATGCCATACTGAGGCCAGAAGCTACAGCACTTCTGAATTCAGAAGAGCATTCTTTAGGTTTTTCTGTTTTTCTTAAGTTTTTAAAGATTTGCTTGGCTAAAAGGAAATCTTCCTTTTGAGTAATTTCATCCCTAAGATTTAGATATCAGTAGAGGTTTTTGTTTTTTTCTTGAACAAAAACAACTGAAGGAATTTAATTTCTGTAAGATTACAGTCACTCCATCTTTACTAACTAGCAAGAGAATGTAACAAAAGGAGTATGTAAAGACTCAAAGCCACAGTTTAAAATTTTAATTTCTCCTGTCTAAGTGGGATATTTTCCTATTCTTATGAAAACATCTGCTTTTGGGACCCCATCATTTAGAGTGAAGGCTGTTTTCCACAATTCAAAAAGTAATACCATTGGTAGGCTATAGATTTATAAATTCTAGTTCAGTCCTGGACTATAACCTCTGTTACTTAAGGTAAATTGGATCATTATGGGGAGAAAACAGAAATACTTAGGTCAAACGATGACTGTATTGTGGCCTTAAATTTTTTAAGAGCTCTAAGAGGCTTACAAAAAATAACATTTCTTCCTATAAATGAGTTCATCTACATAGGAATTTTAAAAAATAGTTTGCCAGTAGAATGCTGTATTAATAGCTTAAGGCAAATCCAAACTGAAAGTGATACAGTGGTCAAGATTTGGACAAGAAATACTAGCTCAGTGGAGATTTGATATTTTCTCGTACATCTTAATAGCTGCAAGTCTCCATCCTTAAAATTAATCAGTGTTTCCCTTCCCATTTCAGTGAAAATTCACAGTAAAGTGATAATTCAAGATAAGCTGTGGAGAATGCACCTTGCTAACAGATTGTATCAGTTTTGAATTTTGAGCATACCAAGTAGATTGGTTGAATTTAAATGCCAAAGAATGAGCTTAGAGACCAACTTACCTAGGCCATCAGGGAATAAGAACAGTTGGCAAGGGGCAGAAATATCCTCCAGCTATCTCAATTAGTAACAGGCAGTCAAAAGGGAAAAGTCCCAAAAGTGGCAAACCACCAGTTTATACAAACACGCATCAACTCAGGAGACTTTCCTGGAATCTGGCTGATGAAATTCAAACCTTAAATTGCTTTATAGTCACAGGCCTGGACTACCTGTGAAACCGTACTGTTTATTATGAGTAGCCAAGATAACAGATTAGCTCAGCTCAACACTCACCTGGGATATAGTGATGCCTAAGCCTCCTTGATGAGTACCAAAGCATCTTGTCCTTTCCAGGCTTTTCTACAGTGGCCATTACTTAAATTGGTTTGAATTCTTGGCATTTTTCAATAGACCCATTAATGCCCAATGTTGGTTCAAGTCTATATAGTACATACTTTTGAAGAAAGGGGGAAATAATTGCTATTTTCTCTTCCCAGCTGGTAAACACAAGTGAAAACTTGAGCAAAAGTCGAAAGATTCTCCGTTCAATGTCCAGAAAGTAAGTTTTAAAAAGACTCAAAAATTTTAATTTCTTTTAATACCTTTCAACTAAGAAAGCTTAAAAACATTGACTTACAAAAGTCCTAATAAATCACTTTAATGCTTGATACCACATAGTCTCCTTGCACTCAGTACCTCTCTGCAGATAATAAAGATTATTATAGTTAAATATCCGAGGGTGAAATTCTTTGTTAAAGTTCGTGCTGCAACTTGGAGCAGTAGGAAACTTATCCACTGAAAAGGCATTTACTTTCAGCTTACATTCCTTAGAAAAGATACATGGGAATAAATAGCTTCATGAAATGTATTTATAAAAACTTAATTAGAAGATTTGGCTCTGCCAAAAGAGAGCCAGGCCCTTTTCTGGGAGTCCTGGCTTATTAGCAAGAAGTAGACTTAAAAAAAAAAAAAAAAAAAAAACCCAAAAACCCTTCAAGTAAGTGATAACAGTAAGAACACCAGAGCCAAGGGAAGTATTGGCCCTGTTGAGGCTTAAATTAGGGCAAGTTAATAGTGTGATTCCACAACAGGGAGAATACCAAAGTGAAGACCTGAGAGCCAGAGAACGATTCGTGTGTGTGTATAGACAAGACAGAAAATTTTTTGAGTAGAGATAACTTGTCTGGATAACAGAACAGAGGGAAAAATAGGGACGAAATAGTAAAAAGGGGAGGAGTTTACAAGGGATTAAAAGCCAATACCCAGGCTTCTAGTTAATCATCTTAAAAGCAGGACCCTCTGCGAACTTGACTTTGACGCGGAAGGATCTGCCCCGAACCCTTCTCCCAGCCTACACTCACAACTGATGCAGCGCTGTATGGCTAGATGATACGATATTTCCAATTGCAGAAATGCAATTGGAAAACATTAGAATAAAGACCATTTTTTGTGCTTTGAAATTGTCCTGCCTTTCTACATTTCTGTGAAGTAGTCAGTGTTATCCCTAAGTTACAGCAAAAGAACCTTGTAAGTTATCACCAAAGAACTTGCTAAGTGGCTATGTGATCATACAAACTCAGCCTGCCAGTCAGTATCCAGCCTTGGCCCCAGGTCAAACCCTAAGGTAGTAAAAACAGCAAGAAATAAGGTTATCCAGACTACTGACTACTGCTTCCTCCTTTTTTTTTTTTTTTTTTTTTTTTTGTAGAGTGACTACCAACAAGCTGCTGCTTTCCATTGTCATCTTATTGGAGATAGCCATCCTGGGAGGCCTTGTTTATTACAAATTCTTTCGCAAGCACTGAACTTCCTACAGGGAAGAGTTTGTGGACCAGAATCTTGAGCCTGTGAATGAGTGGTTTAGGGATACTGTATAACATGTTGCTGCTGTGTGCTCACCATTCAAGGATGCACTGTGTAGCCAGATTGTGGGGAAGAGGGAGGGCAAATGGAAAACCAAGTAAATATGAAGGAAGTATGATATACCAAGGTAATAAATGCTGTTTATGACGTCTTCAAATTTACATACCATAACAATACCTTGTGAACTTCAAAAAACCAAATACATTTACAGTAGCATTTTTGGTCACCAAAATGGAGAGGAAGTTATCAGAATGCACAGATGTTCTCATTAAGGCAATATTGACCCAAACAACCATTTAATATATGTCCCCTTAAGTGCTTCGCAACTCTGGAATGCCCATTGTGAAACGTGCCAGTGCACAGTATTTCCTAAATTCTCACACGTTCTTCGTTTTCCGATTCATCTGGTGAACTAGGAGTAGGAAGTTGGCCATAGACAATGTGACTGCCTTCTCTTGTCTGACCAAAACTTGAAGCAATCACATCTACTGCCAGGCTAGCTGTAGCCTTTGCCTCTTCCTCCGAAGTGGCTAACCGAGGATTGACTTCAACAAGATCCAGTGCTGACAGCAATCCTAGAAGAACAAGGTATGACAAAACATCAGAAAATTCTAGAGCTGCTACTTTCAGTGAGGGCTGTCCCACTTAGTAAAAACAAGTCATTTCCAGTATAAAATTATCTATTGGCAGAAGGCCCCCTGCACCTTAAAATGTTAGTTTATTAGAGTAGGACTGAAATAAATCTTTAAGGCAATGAAATAAGTCTACCCCTGTTCAACTAACTTAATAGGCATAGCTGTCAGGTTTTGTGGTACTGTATCTGTTCCTCCTATCCCTAAGTGCTGGAGATTGAACCCAGGGTCTTGCACATGCCAAGCACATGCTGTACCACTAGGCATATGTCCTGAAATGTAGTTATTACTGGAAACTTTTATTCCTTTTGTTTTGAGACAGGGTCTCTTTATGTAGCCTAGGCTGGCCTCAAACATGATTCTTCTGTCTCAGCCTCCTGAGTAGTGGGAGTATAGGCATGTACCACCACACCCAGCCCAAACTTGATTTTGTTGGATGTACTGGGGTTTGAACTCAGGGCCTCAAATTTGCTAGGCAGGTACTCTACCACTTGGGCCACTCCACCAGCAAGCCCAAACTTTGCCCTTTGGTGTCTGAGTTCTGAGAGCATATTCCAACATCTGACATAATTTATGTCTCCCAGAAGACTGGCTAAGCATCCTGGCACTTGGTCAAAGGAAGATTCAACCATGTGTTGTTTTAGTTTGGATTCTAGTTGCCTTCTGTGAGGGTTTGAAAGCTGGTGTCCAATCCTTAGTGTTCATTTGGTCTGGAGTGGGCTGAGGGGAAGGGAAGAAGCAATCAATCTGCCCTCTACTTCCATCTTTGTTCCATGGCCTGTTTCTTTAGAGAACCTGTTAATTGGCTCTTCTGGATGAAGGTAATCTGCCATTGGAGAGTCATCTGAACAAACTAATATTCAAGAATAAGTATCTGGGAGCATCTGAGGTGGCTATAGCGTCTGGAATCAAGGGTGAATAGAACTGATGGCTTACTGTTATCACATTATAGAACATGATATGCTCAGTGCCCTTGTATCTGGTGGTGTCCTATATTCTTAGCAATGCATAATTGAGTACGCACTGCAAAACTGCAATGACTGGTTACTGTAGCATTTCCATTCCTGTACATGGACCTGTGTCTGATGATTTGTGTCCAATTTCTACTAGCTAAACCACCTTTAGCATATCCCAAAAAGTAGTAATCAAGAGGGCCTGCACTATTAAAGTACCTATGTTTCCAAACTACTACCATCCTGCAAGTTAGTTTAAGCAAAGTGCTTTATGTGTCAGTTGAGTGTCATGACAGCCTTGAATAAAATATCTCAAGCCAGCATGGTAGTACACACCTGTAATCCCAGCTACTTAGGAAGTGGAGGCAGGAGCATTGCAGTTTGAGGCCAACCAGGGCAAAGTTAGCACAAAACCCTATCTCAAAAACAAAATACAAGCAAAAGGGCTGACGGGGTAGCCTAAGTGCAAGGCCCTCGGTTTGATCCCCAGTACCACCAAAAAAAAAAAATTGCAGTAGGGGAAGGGAAAATATAAGAAGATATAATCACTGCCATGTCTAAGTGCTTAGGCTATTAATCCCTCCTCTGAATGGTGTCATTGGGAAATAAAGTGAAGGACTGAACCTTCTGGTTCTCAGTCCCTAACCCAAAGACCAATGGCAATATCTAAGATTGTGGGACTGAGAATAAAACCGTCTTGCTGCTCTCAGATCTGATAAGCAATACTTACCTAAGATTCTAGCAAGCTCCAGGGCTCAATGCCCATTTCTACCCCAGCTGGTCAAGGGTTCCTAGTACCTTTGAACCTTTGCTCTCTTTCCATCTATACCTAGTATTACGAGATAATTACTAAAACAGTATCTTGGGGTAGTAGTTAAAATTTTGGAAGGAATGGTCATTTAAAGTACCCTTAAAATCAGAAGCTTTCAATCAGAATTGGAAACCGTTTGCTAATAAGCCTTGGTTGGGGAAAGTTAATCACTGGTAGCCATTCTTTCTGTATCAGCCCAAACTGGCCTCATACTCGCTATGTAGATGAGGATGGCCTCAAATTTATGATCCTCCTGCTTCAGCCTCCCAAGTGCTAGGATTACAGGCTTGTACCACCATGCCTGGCAGGAGTCACTCTTGAAGATCTAGAGCTCATCTTATTTCTCTTTCTGTCAGCTGTTTATCCAACACTATCCTCATTAAAGTTCCTATAAAACAAGCGCTGGTACAAGACTCACTCTAGATGAAAGGATCAAGGTATTGTCCAACTTACACCTTCAAGAAATCAGCTTTGACTCCAAAATGCCAAGTCTCAATGAACCAACGACCTCTTACATTGGAGTGAAAGGTAGTTACTTGGCCTTGCCTTATCTTACTCTACCTTCACACAGCTCACACAAGGAACTGAGGTTGGCAGTCTGGTGTGTCCCCACCCCGCCCCCACCCAGTAATACCTTAGCATATTTTGCATGGCTCTAAATGTCTATATCTTTTATTAAACTGGCCATATGATTTTTAGCTATCAAAGTTTAAGTGAAAAACAGTCGGCAGTGCTGTGAAATAGAGAAGATCCCCTGCAGGCAAGAGACTTCCCGTATTTACATACGTAGTCATTAGGCTGCAGACCTGGCTGCTACATACCTGTGTTGTGTATTTCTTCAGTAATGTACATGCCTTCTCTGTAGGTAAGTCCCCCTACAACAGGGGTTCCTGTGGCTGGAGCCAGTGTAGGGTCAAATGCATCAATGTCAAAACTCAGATGGATTGGTCTTTGTCTTCTGGAAAGGAAAAGACAAGAGAAGACATACTTGGTTGTATCATTCTGCCTATGATTGCAACTCCTTGATTTTGTTGCTGTCGGTCCTGGTACTTTGATAAGATGGAATATTTCCAGTTTTTTTCTTCCTGGAAGTTACTGAGATTAGCATATTAGCACCATTTATGCTGCTTCATGATACTGCCATTTGTCCTCATCTTCCAGTTCCAACTCGAGTGCAGGTGTGCAATGGCTGGAACATGTACTCTATGCCAAATAACTTCATTTCTTTCTGTTTTTCTTTTTTGTGCAGCTGCTCTACCATTTGAGCCACACCTCTAGCCCATAACTAAATTTCTTACTAGTTTAGGGAATAACTAGATGGCAGTTCTGACATTAATCCCTCAGAAGTAAAGTCTCAATATTGAGAAAATACCCTCTAGCATTTGATTAGCATTCACCTGCCATCTTTCTACACTAAGATTTGCTTAATATAAGTCAGTTGAAGCTAGAAAGGACGGGACCACTGAAACAATGAATGCGTCTAACACAAGAGATAAACATTAAAATGGAGATAAAGAGAAACTTATGAGAGACAGGATTCAGGCAATGACTTAAAAGAAAACCCTTTGAACCCCAGAGGAAGAATATGACTTATTTCATGTTATGTCTTTATATAACCCTATATATACACAGTTTGCAGGGGTTTTATTTTTTTGGGGGGTGGGGTCGTTTTGGTTTTGCTACTGGAGTTTGAACTCAGAGCCTTATGCTTACTAGGAAGGCACTCTACCACTTGAGCCATTCCCCTTTTGCTTTAGTTATTTTTTAAATAGGGTCTTGTATTTTGGCCCAGGCCAGCCTGGACTGCAATCCTCTTACCTCTGCCTCCTGCCTAGCTGGGATTATAGCATGCACCACCTTGCCCAACTTGTTTGTTGATATGGGGGCCTCTCATTACCCCTACCCCCCACCCACACAACTCAGCTTGGAACCACCATCCTCCTGATCTCTGCCTCCTGAGTAGCTAGGCTTGCAGGTGTCAGCCACAGCATCCAGCCACTGTTTTTCTTTTATTTTAAAAGTAAAGTTACTATGTTCAAGAGACAGGCTTAAATGTGCAGCTCATTAAGAGTTTGCCTTGCCGCCACCCCCCTCCCCCACCCCAGCCAGGACCTAGAGGTAGACTTGTAATAACTTACTTGCCAATCAGCAGATCAAATGTCTGTTCCATGACCTTCTGGATACCAAGTCGATCAATGTCTCTCATGGAAAAATACTGGATATCATAGTTCTTCAAAATAAAACTGGCAAGATATAAAGTACTCCTTAGTTTAAAAAGCAGCTTTAACAAATGTATATGGAAGGGGGGCTTCATATTGACTTAAAGCAGATCATGTTAAGCATTAACTTTGAAGAGGAAATTAAGTGGCCAGTACAGGCCTAACCCTAGTGCATCGACTTACTGTTCAGGAGGGTCCACATCTCTTAGCCCAATGTATACAATACTTGGCGAAGAGATACATGGTTTGATCCAGGAAAATCCTGGGAGTTGTGGTACCTATGAAGAGAAGAATGTACAGAGTTAACCAAAATAATCACCAAAAAAAAAAAAAAAAAAAAAAAAAAATCATACCTAAGGTTATGTCACCACCTTCTCCTGTCCACAGGATATGTTTACTTAAGCTACAAGAGGAACTGATACAAGTGGAAATGTTTCACAAAGGCAGATGCAAAACAGTACACCTTTCTCCAGAAATATCTCTTCTAAGGCAGTCGTTTCTCATTAGCTTACCTAAATAGCAGTCATATGCTGATTAGCCCTTTTCCACCCCTTTGCGTATCACTTAATTGTTTACAGATGGGTTCTTAAAGGATAACTTAGCTGTCATCAAGTTGCCAACAGCCAAATGAATTCTGCCTACTGAATAGTCTTTCCTAAATCTTTAATGAATAATCTGTCCTGGATTCTGAGAGGAGGAGTATACATATTCTAGTTAGTCTAATTCTGATTCCCCTGTCTTAACATCTTGGGAAAATACTACCCAAAGACCATCATGGTGTTACTAACCTTCTAGACCAGTATACCTAAGGAAGTGGCCTGGGAGCCTGTAACCAATAGGTCCTCAAGCTGTGGGAGTTCTGTCCATCACTGCAGTTATACCCACTCCACCACATAACTTTCTTAGAAGATTAGGAACCCTGAGAGCAGGGGGACCATGTTTTCTTTATACCTCTAGCATCTAGCAGACTGCCTCACCCATAATAGTGTTTAATGAACTAATGAAGGAATGATAAGCCACATTCAACCTCTCCTTCACTAAAATGTTACTGAACCAGAGCCCCAAGATAACCCTGCAAGCCATCACCTTTCTTCTCATTTTTGCCCACTGACCTTGTCCTGTAGTTCTCTGAGAAGAAATGAAACAGGCTGTCCATGGAGATTTCCTGATGAGGTGGTGAGAGGTGTATTGATGTCAGCATGGGCATCAACCCAGATGACACAGAGATCTGGGCAGTGCCGGGCGTGGCCACTAATGGTACCAATTGCCAGGCTGCAAAGAAATAGAATAATCTTCAAGGTCCTCTGCTTGGCAAACACCCGGAGTAACAAATACCTCAGCCAAAACAGCTTACACTCTGAACTCAGGGCAAAGTCAAGGTCTAGACCGAGGTTGGTTAGGGTGAGACAAGTCCCTTGGTTGTAGCTCCCAAAGATTAACCGAGTGGATTAGGCAGGAGAAATGCAAAGCACTGAAGACTCCATGCTGATGACTGGCTATTCCTGCAGTGTGACAGATGTCATTGCTACTCCCTAAATCATAGCCCTGACCAAGAGAAGGCCTGCAAATATTTGTTCAATGAATGAAATCTATTAAATGATCACAACTCAAAAATGCTCTTAAGGGAGATCTATCTGGGAGACGACAGAATTCTAATGTCCAAAGAATCAATTAAACTAACTTTTTTTTGAGATATGGTCTTGATTCGTTTCTCAAGCTGGTCTCAAACTTGCGAGCTCAGGTGGTTTCCCGTCTCAGCTCCCAAGTAGCTAGGACAAGAGCGCACCACCTTACCCAGTTTATGTGGATTTTTAAGGCTAAGAATTACGCAGGTCTGTAGATGAGTGGTAGAGCAATTGCTTAGCATACATAAGGCCTTGGGTCATTCAGTGCATATACACGATACACAAAAAATTAGGGCTAGCCAAGTGGCTCAAGTGGCACACTGCCCTGCCTGCCAAGTGTGCGGCCCTGAGTTCAAACTTCAGTGCCACCTAAAAAAAATTTTTTAAATAAAATTATTACAGCTTTTTATAAAGCTTACATGTGCTACATCATAAAACCTGCAAAGTTAAAGGTACTAGTCATTGAAATAACAGGGCAGCCTCAATTAAGGATCTCATGTAGACCATTGAATAAAACAGGTTGAGGTGGGTGGCTGATACCTATAATCCTACCTATTTGGGAGGCTGAGATCAGGAGGCTCATGGCTTGAGGCCAGGCTGGCAAATGGTTCACAAGACCCCATCTCCACAATAACCAGAGCAAAATGCACCAGAGGTGTGGCACAAATTGTGAAGTGCCTGCTTTGCAAGCACAAAGCCCCAAGTTTAAACCCCAACCCTACCAAGAAAAACCAAAAACCCAGTACTGCCAAAATCAAACAAAACAAAACAGGTTACATGTTATCTAACATACATTAGCATGGGATTTCAAATATCAAAGTCTTTCTGTGTCCTTGGGTTCTGCTTGCATCAACTACCTGTCCTAGCTCAACTGTGGGGATATAGAGGAGATTGTGCTTGGAAAGCTGCCCAGCTTCCCACTAACTGAGAAATTGACAGGGATGGGAAATGCAGTTTAAGCATTTTGGAACCAATTATTATGACCATCCTCAGTCAGGACAGCATGAAGCAGTCTTTTAGGGTACTAGGCCTTTTAAAGGCAGTGGATTAAGTCAGAATACTGAACTTTTAGTTCAGGAAGAGCTCTGCAACTTAAGACAAGGCACCTAATTTTTTTCGACCTCAGTTTCCCTTTCCATAAAGGGTAATAATGCTTGGTTTGTTCAATCAGGATTGGTTTGATGATGAAGGTGGTAGTATTTATATATAGCAAGAGGAGTGACCTAAAAATGTTCTTCCTTTAAAATATTCAGCAGCTGTTCCTCTCTAGAATCTAACAGCCAAGGCTTTAGCATTGAATGGTAAACAGGTAAACAGTAACCTGGCCGCAGGATCTAAAGCTACAAGCAAAAGAGAAAACAGACTGATAATCACATTTATGAGGTTCCCAAATAGTGAGACTTGTCCAGAAGAAATTTCCAGACAGCTGAGCGAGGAAACAAGGCCTCTGGATGATTTAACTGAATGCCCTGATTGCCTGTATAGAGAGCCTGAGTCTGTTCCCTCCTCTCCCCTTTTTTTTTTTTTTTTTTTTTTTGGCAGTACTGGGGTCTGAGCTCAGGACTTGTACTTACTAGGTAAGCACTCTACCACTTGAACCTTGCCTTCAGCCCTTTTTGCTTTTAGGTTATTTTTAAGATAGGGTTTCATATTTCTGCCTTGGCAGCTGGACCACGATCCTACTTGCCTATAGCTTCCTGCATAGCTGAGATGGCAGGTGTGTGTTACCACACTCAGCTTATTAGTTGAGATGGGAGCCTTGTTAACTTTTTGTCTATGCTGGCCTTATGCTGCAATCCTCCCAATCTCTAACTCCCAAATAGCTGAGATTACAGGAGTGAATCATCACACCAAACCATGGGTTTGACCACTTTCTTATCCTGCCTGAAATTTTATTCCTAATAAGGAATTTACCTGCTTCTCTGATTGTAGCAAAGATTTAACTTTTGGTAGTGATCTGAAAAGTTCTCTGAGCATCTCAGGGAAAACTACCAGATTGGATCTGAAAAGAGAAATTGCCCTGTGGGGCACATCGGATTTGAATCCCAGCTCTGCTACTTCCTGGTTCTAGATCTTGAATAAAGTAACTTCTGTGCCTCAGAGTTTCTAGCAATAAATTAGATAAAACCATATCCATCTCATGGCATCATTAGGATTAACTGCAAATACATACGAAGTTCAATACTGCTTAGCTCATATCATCTCCTGTGTGAAATGTGACTATCCTAGCCCCGGCTGACCTCTTCCTCCTCTAAAATTCTGTAGATTATTGTTTAGTTTTTTATTCCACAGTTATTTATTTCATCCAGTCCTAATAGATCACAAGTTTCTAACAATCCCTTAGCACTGCTGGAAAAAGCATCAGTACTCTACAAAGTACATATTGTTCCATTTTGAAACAAATGATCAAAGGACTAATTTCATTGGTTAATTAGGGTCCATATTGGGGAAGACAGAATGCCAAGGGTTGATCTCTAATAGATCTATTAGCAGAAATTCTAACAAAAATGCATACATTCAGCCTACTAATGGATCCTTCTAGTTTTCCCAAACAGCCAAATGCAAGTCTTAAGACAGTGTCTCAAAGACTTCCCAGGAGGTAAGCATGAAACAGTGACTAAAAAGCAAACCACACAGTGCCTCTAGCAGCTCATGATCTTAGACATTAAAATGCTAATAGGTACAGTATATCCTAAAAATTCTGTAGGGCATTTTTCTCCAGGTGAGGCACTGAGATAAAGACTCTAAATGGTCAGCCCAAAGCACATGTAATTTAACCCTTCACCCTCTTACCTGTGGTCTCCTCCTACAGTGACACAGCTGTAGCCACTTGACACGGCTCTACTAACCACCTCAGCCAGTTCCTGATTGGCAAGGCCCACCGAGCGTGGATTCACTATCAGGTTGTTGTAGAGATCATCTTTGGGAACTGGAGTAAAACTCAAATCTCCAAAGTCTTTCAGGTGGCAGCCTGGAAACACATGAGGGGTGACAAGGTAAACTGGATGCGTTATTCCAGCTCTTGCCTGAACCACCGAGAGTAACCTATGGCAAAGTATACATCATACTCATTTTGTCACAGTACAATTCAAAATGCCACATGACTGGCAGAATTAGCTCAATTCTTCCATTAATTTTTGGAAATAGATCCTATATGAATACCATTTTGCAAAGGAAACTGGGCTTTGGACAGTGGAACCCTGAGATATTAACCTAATAATCACAAAATTTGTACCAATTAGACCTTACATATCCCAAAATTTTAATGTAGAAGTAAAATACCAAGAATAAGCAATACAATTTAAAGAAAATAAGAACTATTAAGACAAAAGATACATACGTAGAAATCCTCAAACTTGTTTAAAATAAGTCATTTGGAGAACCTAAAGCATACTAAAAGAGAAAAACCTAGTATTTGCTGATTACTTATAAGAACTGAGGCACTGTTCAACTGTTTAACCTAAATTCTTATTGAAAACTCAATAATGAGGATACTAAAATAAGCTATTCCATAGGCAAGGAACCAGAAGCAAAGAGAAGGAACCTGCTTGAGGTCACACAGCTGCTAAGAGCAAGAATCAAGATCTAAGTAATCTAGCTCCTAAGTTTATCCTCTTTACTTTGCAGTTTGTCTCTCAAAGAATCTCTCCTGAATCTAATATATCAAGAACCAGTGGTAAATCTGACAGCTTTGACGATTTTCCTACCTTATCTCAAAAAAAAAAAGATCTGAATTGTAGAACAGAATGTTAGGGGTCCTGCTTCTTGCTTCTCAACTGGTGTACAGGTATTTGATGGTGGTGGTAGGACAAACATACTAGATACTCAGGGACTTGAACTTGTTAGACAAGCATTCTACCACCTAGGCCATGCTTCCAGGCTTTTTTTCTTTTTAAGCTTTAGTTTTATTTTTTCAGAAAGGGTCTCATGAGGTTTTTGGTTTTTTTTTTCTTTTTGGCCACAGGCCAGCCTTGGATCATGATCCAATTTAACATCTGCTTTTCGCCTGACTGGGATTAGAGGTATGTACCACCATGCCTAGCCAATGCTATATATACATCTTAATATTTATAGAGTTTGTTAAAGATTTGGATTAAGACCAGCATAGATTCATCATGAATTTAAGTTGTACAATTTGGAGTTTTCTCTTGAATCTAAACTCAATCCAAGGCCAAGCTTCTGAGGGAATATAAAATTTGAAAGCAGTAACTTGGAACATAAATCCAACAGTGACCTGAAACAAGGCCAATCAATGGATTGCCAAAAAAGGGAAAACATCCTATTCTCAAAGGTAAGAACTGCAGCTAGAATTCTTTATCTTTTGGTCATTGCACTGTAAGAAGTAATCATAATTAAAAGGTCCCAAGTCAGAGAAGATACAAAGAAAAAGGAGAGGGAAATGCAGGTGTGAGAAAAAGATGACAACAGGCCAAAGACATTGGAAACCAAGAGAAAAATGACCAAATAAAACATCTGTAAAAATCTTTGTTTTGTTTTTTCAGTGTTAGGGATTGAACCCAGGGCCTCACGCTTGCTAGGCAAATGTTCTACCACTGAGCAATACCCCCAGTCTATAAAAAAATCTGGAAAAAAAAGAAAAGGTCTAAATGTCATTATGGACTTTACTAAGTCTCAAAATATGGGAAGGACACTTTAGACTAACTTTGACCTAAGTATCAGGTCTTGCCTGTGTTGGCAATACAATCCTCAGCTGGGCAGATTCTGAACACTAGTGCCTATTCAAGGGTGTTTTTGCTTCTAGTTTACTTCAATAACCTCCTTAAACCACATCAAGCATTAGTTTTTTTATTTAGTATAAGACACTGGAACATGTCTGATGTTTGTAATACTATATAATCACAGGTGGTTTATAACCTAGGTGATAATCATGTTAGTATTAGCTAACTATGCAGAAGTACTTATCAGGCAGTTTAACTCACACACATTCTGATATGTCCAATAAGAAGTGCAGGGGAATTAAAGTTCCAGTGGGTAAGTGACAGAACTTAGGGAACACTCAAGTCTAATCATGGAAACCGGGATATAGGCGCAGATAAGCACGATAGAAGACAGCACTCTGCTCACCTGTGTTTACTTACTGAGGAAAAGGCTACACAAGGCCTAATAAGAACTTGGAGTATTGGGAGAGAAATGGCCCAAACAACGGATGCACATATGAATAAATGAAAAAAAAAAAAAAAAGAGCTACAGTAAGTTAAAGATTATTCCAATGGACTAAGTGCAATACTCATTTGTGGAAAAGGAAAAACAAACATATAATAAAGAAAAAAAAAGAAGAAAAAATAATTTGGCAGTCTTACAGAAACTCTCCAAGGAAGAGAGGCTGAATTTCATAAAGAGATTTTGGTCATTAAATGTGCAACTCTGGGGCTGGGGCTGCAGCTCAGTGGTAGAGCACTTGCCTAGCATGTGTCAGGCCCTGGATTTGACTGCCACACCACACACACAAAACAAGTGTAACACCAGGATAATTTATAACCTGGATGGTAGATTCTCCTAAGATTACCCAACTCTATTTACTCCGATTCCTTCTTACCAAACAGCCTTCTGGTTACTTGCTTGGTTTCCTAGATGCCTCATATGCCCAGTCTGGAAGGACTAGTGCTCAGCATAATTATGCATGGGCGTCTTTGGTTGTCTAGCACGGTTAGCATGAGTCTCTGGCTGTGAAAACCTGATGAGCTCTGGGTCCACAAACCTGAGAGCCAGACCCTATCTTTAGAGGCCTTTCCTGACGTAGCCTACCCAACATGAGTCCCTGCTCTGTTCTTTAATTTCCACAAATTATGTGCCAGGAAAGGACTAGGGAGTGAGTACTAAAGGATTCAAGAAGTCCACTGAGGACTACAGCAGTCAAGGAAGGATACCTACAAGTAAAACTTGTTCCAGCACTGTTTTTGCTGTGTTCCCCTTCTCCCTTCCCCTTATGGGCAACAGAAATTATTTGCAAAAATTAATAAGGAGGTATATAATGGAAGGCAACTCCTACTCCCCAGGCCTGCCTAACTACTGCATCCTTGCAGGCTTTTATGCGTAAGTTTAATATATAATGTTCTTATAAAACAGTATCATTAGGTAGAATAGGCAAACCACTCTAATGACTCAAACACAGTTTATTTCTTGCTCATTTGACATCCAGAATGGGTATTGTGAGTGAACGGGAGGCTTTCTTTTGTGCAGTGATTCAGAGACGTGGTTTGTGGTTTTGCTCTCTGTGTGGCTAAAGCTAGTTCTCCCCTGTTCAAGGTACCAGGAGAGGGAAAAAGCTCTGAGAAGGCACACATTCTCCTTAAAGGACCTGGCCCAGAAGTGTACATCACTTCTGCTAATGTGGCAAGGTATAGCTTGTGTCTAGAGGAGGAGGAGCATGGGTTATGGTGGGCAGCTAGCAATCTCTGCCGTAGTAAGTATTTTTTATTCCACTGTTATAACCTCTGAGAAAGAAATCAAAATATTAACTTATAATGCTCTAGGGTTACCTATGTTATTTTTAGCTATTCTAATTCATTGCAAAGCTGAATTAGAAAGTGTGCCATCCTGAGGTAGTCTCTCAAGAGCTTTCTCCTATAATGCCCACTGAATCAGAGCATTGAGACACACAAAGGGCTAGTAGAGTAGAACCCAAGATTGGGTTCTAAGGCGTGAATAAGGGCTTGAAAGAAGAAACACACATGCCATTTTTGACAATAGCTGATCATTTTAATACAAATGACAAGTCTGAATACTTGAGCAATACGTTATGAAGTTGCAGAAAACATGAATTATAACACATAGGCTACAAGTTTTGAGAAACAGGGAGACTGATGGGTGGTTAATTCTTTTAAGAGCAAGATGAACTATGTAATATTAAAGCTATTACTTTATTAAAGTGCTATAGCAAATTCCTACAGTTTAATGCCATAAGAAATAATCTCACTGACTTTTATTTTTACTTTTTGGTGGGACTGGGGTTTGAACTCAGCTTCACACTTGCAAAGCAGACACTTACAAACTAGGCACTCTACCACTTGAGCCACGCTTTCAGTACATTTTGTTTTGGCTATTTTGGAGATGGGGGGGTCTCACAAACTGTTTGCTTAGGCTGACCTTGAAACTTAATCCTCCTAATCTCAGCCTCCCAAGTAGCTAAAATTACAGGCCTGAGCTACTGGTGCCCGGCTCTTGCTAGTTTCTATTTATTTTCTGGTGATACTGGTGTTTGAACTCAGGGCTTCATACTTGCTAGGCAGGCTCTCTACTACATGAGCCCCTCCACCAACCCCTCATGAATTTTTAAAGAATTTTCAAGCAACGGTGAAAAAAGCAAACTTTCTAATACGGAGGAGTATTTGCCTGCCATGCTTGAGAGCAGTCCCCCTAACTCAATGCTTTAGGTCATTCCACTGTTTCTCATTGTTCTCTTTTAAGAAGCATTGTAGGACAAGATGAGCCTGAAACTTCAAGAAAGCTCTCATGTCCTATGGAACCAAAATGGAAGGTCTCTCATTTTTCACTTGCTAGCATAGCCTCATTGCTTCTCTGGAGGGCTGGTAATAAAACACACAGAATACTACTGTGATCTTTCAGGTCCAGATGTTACCTTTGGCCTTGATAAACCTCTCCAGGCTCCATTGGAGTGGAACAAGAACACAAGTGCATCAACAAGATGATGCAACCGGCAGTGAGGAAGAATCAAAACAGCCCCTCCCTGACCTTAACAGTATCTATGAACAGCACTTCTATTTCAGGACTTCTGAGTGGGTCCCTGAAGGAAGCCAGTGACAGGAAAGAAGGAAATGGAACATGATTGTCTGTTTCTATACATCACACTGAGCTAGGCACTTTACAGACATCTGCTAATCCTCACATCCTCTGCTGGCATCATTATCTACACTTTGCAGAGGAAGAAATTCAGCAAGGTTGAATAGCTCCAACTGTTTAGAGCAATACTGAGTCACTCTTTGGTTAGAG